TATATTTCTCAGAATAGGACTGAAGACTTTTTTTATTGTAAAATAAAATATTAAATTTTAATTACCAAACCGACTTTAGCATCAAATTGATCCATAATATATTTTTGTGCAATTGATATATCTTCATCTGTTACAGAATGACTTTCATCTTGGAGTGCCAATTCATAAAATTCTTGTATATCTAAAACAATAAAACATAATGAGTGAAGAATCAAGATACAGCATTATTATTGCACACAGTGCCATGTTACATTATTCCACATTTCCACTTAACACATAAAAGGGATTGGATTAGATCACAGATTTCAGTTGATATCTTTGATCTAATTTACAAAAAAATTAAATACCTAAAAATTTATAATAATATAAGTATAATTAAAACATTTTGAATGATATAAAATTGGACTACACCACAAAATAATAACAGATCTTAAATATAAGACAACCTATATATGTTTTAAAGCAAAATGTTATTCAGATAATTTTTCTGACAATTTTGACGTATTGTAATTGAAATTTGAACTAAAACTCCCTTAGTTTTCTTATTTACATACTAAGGAATAAGGATAATAGATAGACTATTATACTAAAATGCTTTGTAAAATGGATATGAGATCGATAATTATAATTCGGTATTTAATATAAGATATTCGTCAATAATTTCTACCTAACCGAATTATAATTATTGAGCTCGTATCCATTCACAAAGTATTTAGTATTTAATATATTACTATCCTTATTCCTTAGTATGTAAAGAAGAATAACTAAGGAAGTTTTCATTCAAATTTCGATTACAAGACGCCAAAATTTTTAGAAACAAATTTTGCTTAAAAACATATATAGGTTGCAATTTGAAAAACAAAAGTTGGTATCGCCAAACGGTAATCCTTAAATGTTGTGAAAAATCTAAGTACACATAAATATCATATTTAACTACACTTAAAAATTCGAAAAATCAGAATCTGAATATATGCTTAATTTAAACATAAAAATGGGGGGGCATTCTTAAAAAATCACCCTCTATATATGTATTGATTAATAGGATTTTCATTTTAAGTACTAGGGTAGTGATTTCACATAATTACCTATATTTTTACCATGCGACTGAACACGCATGAAAATGTGAAATAATTCGTAAATATATTTATCAATATACAAATGTTTAGTTAAATCATTGACTTTTTAAAATCTATAGTTAAATGTAATTAAATAGGTATCTATTACAAGAATTAATTGTACTTGATGGGTGAACAATATTATAAAAATTAATTACCGACGAGAGCCTGAAACAGCCTGGACTTAAAGACGCCAATCACTAGCTGCATGACGACTTGAAGATCATTGTCAGGTACAGTGGAGAGTTTAGCGTGGTAGTCTTCCAGGAGGGCTAAGGCCCTAAGGGTTTCTGTGATAAAAAAAAAAAAGTGAATTAATAAATAAATAAAATAGAAACTTATAATAAAAATGTCGACAAACGTGTTTTAAAGTAAAATAATATACTACATAGGTAATAGGTATATTATATTATTGTTGTACTTCACGAGTTCACGACATCAATAAGTAATAAAAAAACGTCGATAATCGTTTTTAAATTGTTTTGCAAACAGCAATGACATGTTCGCTACTTACCGTCTTGTTTACAGACTGGCATTTTCGGAGTATTAAGCCTCGTATAGATAGATATGTTATTGTTACTTCGTCCTGTGAAATAGATTTTAATCGAATCCGTTGAATAATAGGGTTCTACAAGGTAACGGAACAAACTCTAACAGCGATGGCCAATAACCCAAAAAGAGCGAAGGACGCACGCACACGCACGCACAGACCGAAAGGAATCGACGACAGCGACGCACTAACGTCAGGCGTGAGAGTGTGAGACGGCGCGGAAAAATCAATCGCGTCAGCTGTGCAACGTTTGTGGGTCACGGTGGCGAGGGTAACGTTATTGCAGTTGTAGCTTTTTTTTTTTTTTATTTTTTTTTTTTTTGTCCTACGTTAGGCTCTCTCGTTGTCAAAGCTGGCCAGCTGGGTAGGGCAAGACATTCGCGATGATGATGATAAATGATAATACAAATATATGATTTAAATGTATGAAAATACTTAAATAATATTAAAATTAGTCGACAGCGATCCGGATTCTCGAGGAGACCATTTTATAATGATTAATAATTAATATCCTAAATCTTACTTGTTTGTTTGCGGAAAACTGTACGGGGTCAGGGGTGTGGTGAATGCTAGTTTCTTAAAATAGATGGTGTTTAAAAATACACTATTGACACACGTTGCCCCTGCCATACGTCATCACGTCATCGCCACTGCCCGCCACTGTCCGTAAAACCTACCACAGACGGCGACGTGCAGTGAACTGAGTGAACCATGTACTGATGTAGATAAATCACTTAAGTATATACGCAATTTTATCTGTTCTGACTTTCTGAGTATTATATTTCTGGCCGGAAAAAACCGCTTTGTTACAATGCTGCATTTCGAAAAATAATATACTGCGTGAAGTAGGTAATAAACTCGTGCTGAGTTAATCGCAAAAAAACAGACAGCCTGATCAAGGCTCAATTTTCTCAATCAGTCCTGAAATCTATCAAGATAGCACATACTTACCTACATATATGTAATATAATATTAAAACTATACTATTACAATAATATAAATAATATAATAAACATATTATACATTAAAATATGATCATTATGACCGTAAGCAGAAGAACTGGAAATATACCGGACCTGGTAGTCTGCAGAAATTACTCATTATATCCGCACCTTCCCAGAACGGAGCTGACTTCAAAGTTCAAATACATAGTTATGAATACATAAATAGTTGAAACAATATGCACAACGAAATAATATTAAGAATCTCAGCAGTTGTAAAAAAATATTTATTATTAGAAAAATTTTGTAAGCCTAAATTCCTATCTAGAAGGTCGAAGACAAACCTACACTAGAGCTACTATTATGACCAATATATCTTAGGGATGTAAAACGTGGTCGATAACAAAAGGTGTTCAGGATAAAATAACGACCATTAAAAGAAATGTACTCCATCGTATCTATGGCCATTTTGTTGAAAATGGATAAGTATTATTTATTACCATTTACCAAACAAGAAAAAACGCCGATCCAGTGCCAGATTTTGACCTAGGCCGTTGAGACTTAAGTGAGAACTTTTTTTTTAACCAAACCAGACAATTTATTTTTATTTTTGGTTGTAGAATGAGGGTGGAGAGTGGCACACCAGCTAAGGCTTAGGGTGGCTGGGTGGCACTTGCATTAAATCCGGTTCTGGCGGTAGTATATAGATGTCCAGTTTTTTAAAAAAAAACTCAACATAAAAGCATTTATAAGGAGAAAACAAGTAGAATAACCATTGACCAATGGGGATGCCATGTAGGAAGAGTTAATAGAATATTATATCCAAATACGTAATGATAGAATAAATGGCAGAAGACTATTAGAGGGAACTTAAGGCAGTCTAATGCAGCGGTTCTCAAACTGTGTTCCGCAGAGCCCTGGGGCTCCGCGAGAGTAGTCTAGGGGCTCCGTGGCTCCCATATATTTTCTGTATTAATTAAATTCAAATTATTAAATTATTATTATATTTCTTCGTTGCATTTTTAATTTTTATACTTGTATTCATTATTATTTGGACCGCACCAATATGTATTATTTTAAAGTTTAAAACTGTAAACTATTTATAATTCCACATATTTTTTTATAATCAACATCATTTTCTATGAATTATTGTTGTCTCAAATAGACATTTCACTCAAATGACTAAATTAATAGTATAATAGTATGATTCAATAATACTTTTATATAACTTCGCAGGTTTATCAATCATTTCCCATTAATTGGGGGTAATAAATCCATAATGTGAGTGATGATAGTCGATAGATTATCATATATTTTGGGTAAAACCAAAGAACCTATTTTCCAATATATTATTATGTGTATAAGCAATGTAATAAATTGATTGATTCAGGAGAGGAAATATCTAGAGCCGTTAAAATCCTTGGAGGGGGACTGGAGGAAAAACGTCCAAATACCCGTTAAAATACCCCCAACACCTAACAAGTAATTAATGAAGTTTTAAAATTCGCTATTTATTTTTTTCTCCAGTAGATTTTGGAATCATCTGCGTAGACGTAAAAATTCACTTTAAAATGTTATTAACTTATAACCTTGGAACTAAGTCCGATTGACAATTTTTGACTGTAGGTACCATTGTAGTTATTAACTAATTGGAATATATAGATTTCCGAAAAAAATACAAAACATGCGATTGTTATACCGTATTTAAATTTATTTGTGCAAGATGGAAATAGTGATTAGTGTTTATTACAAAGTAATATTATCTTAATTATGTACATATACCATAAGGGATTCGGGTATTATATGTTAAAATATACTATATTAGTAAGATATTAAGTAAGTACTTAAATATGGTTTTGCCAGTTTAAAAAAAAAAGTTATGGGGGTGGGATAAGACACCCAATTTCCCCCTCGGTAATTACGCCACTGCATACTACATAGAATTTCGAGAAAAGAATCCCCGACCCTAATAACCACTTGGTACACTTTTTAGTTTTTGGCTTGGCACTCGGTGTCTCAGTGCAAAAAGTGCGTCAAAACGAAAATTCTATTATAGAACTTGTAAATTTTAATAGATAAATTAATAGATTATAGAAATTAGAAATCTATGGGCCGAGACTGTATTATTTGGCATATTATTATGTTAATATTTCAAGTTATACATTATTCGCATTATGAATTATGATATACAAAATGTATAATACATACTTAAAAATATATACATATTACTGTTATAACATGCATACATTATCACACCAGATTTAACATTATGCATATATTTATATAGTTGGATCTAATCCGTGGTCGTGGCACAGAATCGATGAAATTTCAAATAATATTCTGTGGTCGGTCGTTTTTCGTTCGTGTAATCACGTAAACAACTGTTCAGGGCACGAATATGATTTTTGATTACTTGATTGTGTCCCAGTCAGTCAGCTGTTGTTTCCTTTGTGATAAAATAATACAAAATCTCGTTTTCCAGACTTCTGAGTCCAGTTAGTAAATACTAAATAGTAGGTAACAAAACATTGTATTTTTATTCCTCTTCTTTCTTCCAATTTCATTCATTCCATCTTTAAGTTCTTTAAGTTCCGACTTTAAGCAGTTGTTTTTATAATTTTAACAACTAGTGTTAAACTTCGATACTACCGTCGTAGAAATTGTTTAGTGCGCTAGTAGTATAAATACGGTGTTTTTTTACGAGAAACATCCACACGTCGAAAATGTCATCCGGTTCTTGTGGAACGAACACCAAGAAACAGAAACTGCACCACCATCACCAGGCGTCGTTAGACGTCAACGGTGGTAGCGGTAGTGCGTCAACAGCTATGCTCGATGGTGTCGTTCAAAAAATTACCACCCCAGCGATGGGGTATTTCTGTTTTGATACACTTTACTCCTATCTCAACAGCCTGGAGCCGCCTAAGAAACCAGATTTCACAAACGACCCATTGTAAGTTCAATGGGAAAAGGTAATATTGAACCATAGGTACGCAATACTGAATGATAGGAAAGCGTTGGGTAACATTTTTGTGCACCTGTGGTAGTTAAAGCTATTTACCTTGTCCCCTGAAATCATACTCTGTTGTCATAATAATGTAGTCACTGTCAGTTTTCCTCTTTGCTTTTTTCTTTTTTGTATAGTGGGGACTTAGTTCTGAAATCAATGTGGTTTTTATATAAATAATGTAATTGTTTTTGTTGTAGTCCTCTGTTTGTAACATGGGAGACCGGAGTAGACAAGAAACTCAGGGGATGCATCGGCACATTCAATTCAATTGCTTTGCACAGTGGCTTACGCGAATACGCCATAACAAGGTAAATATAAATATATTGCATTTTAAAAGATAACTAAACACGGTAAAAAAAATACTAAAATATAAGTATTATTTAAGTTTATTTTTTAAGATATAGAGGTAAGGAGGTACCTACAACTTAGATTTATATATGTCAAATGTAATTGTTTGGTTATTTGAATACCTATAATATTACAAAATAATATTCCCATGGCTTTTATAAGCTATTCATATTTTGCTCATAACTTTGATTTTAAGCCTCTGCAATCCGCTTTAATATTTCAAGTTTTTTGATTAAATGGCCTATAAGCTGATTTAAATATTTACTACTTTCAGACTACATAAATTTATTAACAGGATTTCTTGTTTTTAGTATTGTTATTTTTAAGTTCAGACAATCTAACAAGAAATTAAGCAGTGTCGGCATCTCCATTTTTTTCTTTAGGGTCTTGTAAATATTTTGTGTGTTGGGCGAGTTTCTGGTGTATATAGGAAGTATGGGGATCCCATTAAGAATTCAATTCAAAATATTTAACTATACTACATTTTTTTTTTTACAATTCTCATGGCCGTCCTGAACATTTTTGGAGTAAAGAAAAATGTCTGTACATTTTTGTTGGGCCTTTGTATTTCATAATGGTGCCCCTTAAAATAACTGTTTCATAGGCTTTTTGTGGCCAGGCCGACACTGTTAACTAATTTTAATATTTTGTAAATGTTTAATAGTGAATAATATAATAAAAGGTAATAAAGAAAAAACAATGTGTGTGTATAAACTTGAAAAATGTTATCCTGACCAACGCAAAGTACATTTTTTCACAGATACAAATATTTTTAAATTGTACAACCAAAAGCACAGTTTTTTAAAAATTTTTATTGTATGTTGTATGCAGAAATAATATTATAAATTTATAAATAACACTTACAACATTTTTATGAAAATATAAAAATGTATACCTACATGGATCATTTAGAATTATTACAACTTACAAGCATTTTTTTTAAAATAATAAATAAATTTCAATGTATGATTATGTATATTCAATTTTTTATTTTTCTTGAACAGTGCACTGAGGGATTCCCGATTCAAACCAATCTCAAACGACGAATTGAACCGATTACATGTAACCATATCGATATTGTTACACTTCGAGGAAGGGAAAGATTACAACGATTGGGAAATCGGCGTTCACGGTATACGCATTGAATTTCAAAACGAACGTGGAATGAAGAGAACTGCTACTTATTTACCAGAAGTGGCCGAAGAACAAGGTAAAAATAATAGTTGTGTATAATCATACTATTTTTTCTAGTTTAATTTAAACTAAAAAGTTTTATTCTTGTCCCTATAAAACAGTTATATGAGTATTTATTTTTCCACAGGTTGGGACAAAATACAAACAATTGATTCACTCCTGCGTAAAGGAGGTTATCGAGGTCACGTGACACCCGAGACTCGCCGTTCTTTAAAATTGACTAGATATCAAAGTGAAACTGTATCAGTCAGTTTTCAAGATTATATGAACCATATGCAAACTCTACATTGCTAGCAGCATCTTTGGGGCCAAAAAGACGCAGTGGCCCCTCATATACCAACACTGCCTATTTTTAAACATCCAAAAATATATTTAACATATACACATCCTTTATTACAATCAATATATTTCAAACAAACATCACCAATTTATTATAACTACCCAGCATAATACAAAATGAGATGACCAATTAAAAAATAATAAGTAATATGAAAATAATCTAATTGTTGTGATTTTAAAGTAAAAGATATTATTTTATTTTCCCATTTTTTTATGGTTTTTGTAAAATAATTTAATAATTAATCAGATTTTAGAGTTGACCAAGATACACATTCAAAATATTTAATAATTATTGATTTCTAATTATGATTTTAAAATTATTTTTTATTTTATTTTAAGTTATGCTTGTAACAGACAATAAACTCCTTAAGACGATGTCCTAGCACTATTTGTTTTCTTTTTTTAACCCTTACACAATAGTGAATTTGCATTAAGCTGTACCAATCTTTTGTTGTTATCTTTAAGATAACAATTAATTATATTAAATTTAAAAACTTAATCTGTGTTTGTATGTTGGTTTATATCACAAAATTGCAAGTATTATCCTAGTAATGAGTGTAGAATATAAAAATGCATATTTTTCATAGAAAAATTGAAATATTAAGAAAAGCCAATTTACAAACTTAGATTATGTTCTTAACTACAAGTTTCATAATAAATCAATTCCTTTATTAAAATATTGCACCAGACAACACACAGTTGCTTTTAACGGACATTGATTCAGTATGTTGTCTGAATCAATGAGAGGAAACAAATAATGTGAATACATCCTCTTAACTTAAATTCAATAACTGTTTAGGTATATACAAATTAATGCCTTTTTTTAACTACGAGAATTAATGACTACTATAAATAACTATTCCATAATAATAATTAATATATTTTCTTTTATAGTAAATATTTGTTTTCAAGAAAAAACAATCACCTATAGTGAACATTTTAATCATTATATTTTTTAAAAACCTTCGAATAATTTTATAATTTAAAACTTACAAAAAGCCATTAGTAATTATAGAAATATTATTTATTTTTAAGTTAATTTTATAAAAATTCTACTTCTCTGTAATAATAAATACATTAAATATGCAAGAAAATAAAAAGAACTTTTTAATTTTACATATTAAGTTAGGTATTTAAATATTAAACTTTCAAACTATATTATAGTTGATAATTAATATGTATAAACACATTTTTTTATTGAGTTAATATATATTATTAATTTATCTTATTATGTTGGTTGTAACCAAGTATATTAATTTTTTAAGACAACATTTTATGAAGAATTATAGGTTTATTTTCTTACAAATGTTGTAAGCCTTATTATGTGTTCACTAATTTCAAAGAAAGTTTGTTTACATAAACATGGTTTTACTTTTTTGTCAAATAATTTTGAATTAATTATATATTTTTAATCTATAACTATAAGTTGTCTAAGTACTCCATATTTAAAAGTTACTTCAGTGGATGACTTGTGTGCAGAGGCATGGTGGGCAGATGCTTCACTTAGTTAGGGCAATAAACAGTTTCAAACACTGACTACCACCTGACATAAACTGGTCACAGCTGGGGTCCCTTAACAGTGTGAATGTAGTATAGACTATACATAGTTTAATCAATGATTATTATTAATTTTACATTAAGTTTAAAGTATTGTATTATTATACACTAATTTATTGTTTCGCTATATATATATTGTAATTCATGTGTAGTGCTGTCTTATGATATTATATTTCATACAATTATTATATGCAGGAAATATGTGTATACTGTATATCAGTGGTTCTAAGTCACTTAGGTACCATAATGTGTATCGCCAAAAAAATAGTTCATTATTGTTACTTTTTTAATGTTGCCTATTTTATGGAAATACTTTAAGGTGTACAAAAAAAAGGTTGAGAAGCACTGTTTAATTTAATATCTATAGAAGTATATTACATTTTACTTGTAGAAAAGCTTTAAAAATGGTTGGTTGCAACTTGCAAGGTTTTAAATTATCTATCCACAAAACTATGTTCAATTAACTATGTAAAATTATTTCTTTTCCTAGGACCTTATTGTGTCCTTTTTTCAAATTAGCAACCAATACTTTAATATTCATTCAAAATTGTAATAAATAAATAAGAGACTGAAGGGCCGAGCAAACTAAGGCGTCAGTTGTAACATACACTGTCATTGGTTCGAACCTGTCACGGGAAGCACTTTTTTTCTGTCTGGAGAGAGAGACTGCCATCTGCCTGATCGGGCATGGTAGAAATTTATGGGAGCTTAATCGAAATTCTGCTAAACACATACATGCTTAAACCAATCGTACCAAAACCCTACAAAAAGCTAATGGCCATAGTCACCAGGCTCAAGGATCAATTGAAAGAAAAAATAATACATCATTAATTTAAAATATACAATTTAACTGCAGGCATGACTAAAAAACTGACCGATGGATAGTTTTTATGTGTCACTTCTTGTTGGGAAAGGATTACTATCAATTGTAAATACTAGTATCCATGTGTGTAACAGATGATATCCTGCTAATACATATTTTTAAGTTTTAAATAGACAAAGGAATTTATGTAGATATAGTTGGGTGAAGTAGTGACTAGTAGACTATAGGGAAATACTAACCACCTAACATGTTAATTTTTATAAGAAAGAATTATACATTTGCAATAAAATAATACTTTTACTCTATCTTTGATTTAGGTATAAATATATAATACTAAATTCATTAATTATTCTGTTAATAGTATGCTTTGGCCCACAAGAGAAGTAACTTGTTTTAGCAAATTACAATGTTTCTAGCTCCATTCTTGATACTAGCCAACATGCCATCGTGTGCTAACAGGGACAATATGTTTTTTTCCGAGGCGCAGAATCTTTTTCTTGTAGGCTGGAGAATAAACCAAAACGAGATCTGGAAACTTATTACGTGGACCTTTGTTGAGAGCGATTAGATAAAAATTAGTCATTTAGACCAAATAATTAATATTATATATTATATAATCTAACCGGTAACCAACTATTTAGTATGTTATAGTTACATGCCTTACACGATAATGAACAATTAACCACATAAGAATGAAAACTAATTGTAATATTGTGGTTATATTAAGAGCATAAAACACTGTTTTATAAGCTAAAACAATCTACATATTTTAATATTCTAATTAGTAGTTACAATTAAATTACTTTATCAGTGACATAGTAGATCATTATTTATAACTAATTTGTTTACTTAGACGTAATGTTTCTATTTCTTCATTTTGTTGTTGTAACATTTTAATCCTTAAAAATTCAAAATTATCCATTTGATAATGACTAATCATATAACTTAATAAGACATGACCAATAACAAATGCAGTAAGTCTGTTGTATAGAGGACGACTTATTTTCATGGCGTGCAAAGCAAATTCTTTAACAATCTCAGGTCTTTTGCTTTTAAAACTAATTGTATTCATTTTGTCGGCAAACTGAAAGTATAAATAGTTATCACAGATTATTTATAACATTATTTATAACATTGAGTTAATCATAATGGAATGTTAAGAGGATTATTGAAGTATAATGCATATAAGCATATTTACCATATAAGTTCCACCAATTGTGCTCATCAGAGGATAAACAATTCCTGTACCTAATTGTATGAACATTGACTGTGTACTGATGCACATAGGACAATCTTCTTGTAAAATGATTGATTTAGTAGTCATCTATGTAATATAAAGTTTTAGCTATTTTCTTTGTTATATTATAAGGTATATGAGTTTACATACTGAGTTTTGATAGATTTGATTAAAAATTGATGGGACGAGAACAATTGGTAAGAACAAAGTAAAACGTCCATAATTCCTTAGTTGTAGTTTTTTGCGGTAAAAATTTAAAATGACTGTACTTGATATCACCACGGCTGACGATAGAATTGGATTACCGTGTTTTAGTGCCCATCTAAAATCAATAAAATTGTGGTCAATGAGTGTTATTTGCGCAACGTGATCATCACTGACAATTCCATTGTGTTTGGCCATTTGTGTATCAGGTCGGTCATGTACTCCTGGACCTCGTCTCTCGTGAGACGTATAGCCCCTTTAGGGATTTCTTCGGGTTTCCCCCTTTCGATGTACATAGCGTTTTAAGGGAGAGCAAGGTACGGAATAAAGACTGTATAATGTATACAACTGTAAATGATTACTATGTAAGTACAAAAAAACGGAACAAAGTCAATACTAAAAACAGGCAGAACAAAATTATTGAACCAAACACAGTCCGTCGAGTACTCGACTGTCAACCATAAAGCACATGAAATAATATTGTGAAGTATCGACTTCCGACTCGCACACGCCGCTACACCGGTACTTAAGAAATTACGTTTTTTCGACCCTCAACAGTCTTATCTATATTCTATAATCTATGGCACACGGACAGCAGCTGTTGGCCATAGATAATACAGAGATCTTTATTATCTATGCTGTTGGCGCTGCGCTCGTGGTCAAAGTCAAGCCGATGTTATGAACAAACCATTTAATTTATTAGTGGTGATACGTCACCTTTTTCAACGATTTAAGATAAGAAACTTTGTATGCTCGGTTGCATTTCATTAGATTCCAGGCGCCCAACATGTTTATTGCTGATAATCACAAAATAGCGTCATAAAATTGACACGTACCTTAATATGTGAAGGTAAACTGTACTAGCTTCTCCCCCCACAAAGACATGAATTTCCACCAAAATTTGCCCCAAAAAACCAATGTGACTGTTTTATGTTCAAATAAATCTAGAATAGTAACATAGTTAAAGGAGATCAAGACCATTCCAGGGGACCATTTTCACATGGAGGGAGTATTCTAAGCATGATTTTTAATTTTTTCGACCGTGTTCCAGAAGATTTTTAACAGGACATTTAAACCTAGATATTCGGAAGGCCAGGAAAACTTTAAATAAAATGATTATAAATCTATAGTACACACGGCTTTCGGTCATATAGTGATAAGCGACCAACGACGGACCTAGGTAATCGATTTTCATGTTGCACTATACGGGCTCGTGGTTTTTAACGTATTCAGGTGGTGGTGCACTTGCTATCTGAGCTAAAAAACCTAAAGATAATGTATATTTTCTTATGGTTTAAGAGTGCATTAATTTTAAAATATTAAAAATATTATACTTATATTAGTCATTACAATGATCTATGGAACTCATGATTATATGTATAAGGGTAAACGGAAAAAAGTCTCCCGTTGCAGTTTTTAAATCAAACGATATTTCCACTATCCTTGTTATTTTATTTATAAAATAAATTGGGTTGACGAATCTTATCTGTAGATAGTACATGACAACTAATTGACATAATGTATGGTTTGACAGTTACAAACAGTACCATACACAGGTATACCTATCGTACGTATCCAGTTTCGTATTAGAACTGTTGTACGCGAGTGTAGTGTAAGTGTTTAACCATGGAACTTCTTAAGTCAAACAAGGGAAATGATAAAATTGCACTAGACGGGTAAACTTATACTATAAAAATTACATGCCAAAATATAATCCAATGGAAATGTTTCAAAAAAAGTCAGTGAAATGATCGGCAACGTTAATTACCAATTTGAAAATTACAAAAATCATACGATTTGAAGAAGAACATGTCATGGTGCTAATAAAGGTGCAATAGGAGCCATGAAAATCAAACAAATGATAAAGGAATGTTCAGTTCAGACTTGTAACAATCCAGGACAAATTTTCGCTCAAGCTGTACAAAATGTACCAAAAGAGATATTAATTGAATTGCCATCCGAAGATTCAATAAAAAGAAGTATTCGTAACCAAAGAAGCAATCTAAACCCGATAAAACCAAATAGTCCACAAGAACTTGTTATTGAAAGTAATTTGCATTACTTATTATTATAATAATTTTTAAGTGACTCAACTCTAGAAACGGGTGGATTGGCTTTTCTCACTGTAGATAAAGTTTGTGAGGGGATGAATTATTTAAAAGAAAATTGGGAACTGGTCTAGTAGACCCCCGCCAAGAACATAATCCCCCGCCACTCAGATTTAGTTGACGCCCGCCACTTAAATATTTCGTGTTTTCGATATTCTATTCAATAATCAATAATTTAATATTTAATTATAAAAAATATTCATATTAATATAAATTTATAAAAAAAGTAAGAAAATAATTTAAATAATTTATCATACATTCATTTGGTATTTATAAATAAATCGCAAAAAAATTGTACACAACATCAGCTAATACATATAATAATGCAGAAAATAATAAAAAATTATGCAGGTGGCCAAAATTCAAAATTTCATTAAATGGATCGCGGCCGTTTAATTTAATTACTTCGCCATATAAACTGTGACAAAAAGAATCTAGAAAGTTTCTCTTGGTCCCTCTTCGTTTCTTGTTGCCCCATTTAGCACTTCCCCTCATCCTCTCAACATTCTGCGTATGAGCTCCACTTATAGGATCTACAAAGTTATACTTGTGGTTTACTGTTGAGTGCTTAATTTTTTATTATTTTCTGCATTATTTTATGTATTAGCTGATGTTGTGTATAATTTTTTTGTGATTTATTTATAAATACCGAATGAATGTATGATAAATTATTTTCTTACTTTTTTTATGAATTTATATTAATATGAATATTTTTTATAATTAAATATTAAATTATTGATTATTGAATAGAATATCGAAAACACGAAATATTTAAGTGGCGGACGTCAACTAAACCTGAGTGGCGGGGGGATTATTTTCTTGGCGGGGGTCTACTAGACCCAGTGGCGTGGCCAGGATTTTTTTCGGTGGGGGGGGGCTGATCAATTTTTAGACAGCGGTGGTTTAGTTTTTGATCGAATACCATAGACCATTAAAATAGTTTTTAAATTTTATTAACATTTCGGGGGGGGGCTGCAGCCCCCTCAGCCTCCCCCTGGCTACGCCACTGACTAGACCAATGCCAAAAATTGTTTAACTGGATCAGAAGATGAAGATCTACTACAGTATTTTTATGAAAATTATGTTGGAAGTACCTTCAGGAAAGTTAAAAAAGCAAACAATATAATTTTAAGAAGAACACCCCCATTGTTTGTACTAGAATCATGGAACGTTAATTTAACAACTCAGTCAACGAATCCGCACAGAACTAATAATGCTTGTGAAGGCTGGAACAATAGGTTTTCCCATCTCGTCGGCATTAAACATCTTAGTATTTGGAAATTACTAACAAAAACGTGTCAAGAAGTCGGAACGGACAAGGCCACAATGGCGTTGGCTGAAGTAGGAGAAATTAATCGAAAAAAAACAAAATCTGGTAAAAAAATTGAATTCGATTGAACATTTTGTGTCAACGTTTTAACGAAGACAAATCTGCAGATATTCCTAATTTTTAAAGCAAATAGGTCAAAATATAAGAAAGAGATCTTTTATATCTGAATAAATACATTTTTTTATTTTTTAAATAATATTATAAGACATATTTAAAATTTTTTTTTTCTGAGACTTTTCCACCGGGAACTTTTTTTCCTAATATCAAATATAATTATTACATTTTATTAACAAAACTTTAGTATAGCTTAGTTAGGCAGTATTTAATTTTATTTATGTTGTATTTTATAAATATCATATGCGTATGAATTAATTAAGTGTTTACAAAATACTAATAGTATTTGCTTATTTATTTAATTTTTAAGGGGGGGGGGCGAGACTACAACTTTAGGTATATTAAATATTAAGTGTGCAGTACTAATTTTTTAATATTGTAGGCACTGAATTTTTAAATTGTTATGTTTGTAAATTTACAATAGGAATTCATAGGGCTCAAAGAAAAAAAGATTTTTTTAAATTTAATTTAAGTTTATAGATTTTTACTTAAAACGTTATTTCATATTGTAACTTATTTAGTTATATATTTGTGACTATGTGATTCGTACAATCGGGAATAGCATTTCGAGTTTTCACAATCTGAATTCAGATCAACATTGACTGTAGTGCGTCATGCTTTTTGACGGCAAAATGCCATTATGCAAACCACGGGCTAAAGCCTAAAATCGACTTCTTATAGCACGGCTAGTCTGTGTTTTATAGAGATCTATCCCAGTCCGTGGTTCAAACGACCGTTATCATACAATTATCGTGATCCATAGTGAGAATGACCAAGTTCTCCCAAAATATTATTGTTCCAACTTCCAATTTGAAACTTCCAATGTAATTGAGAATTGGTATAATAATTGTTATTTAGAAATAAAAGTATTATTTTGTCCATAAATATAAAACATTATTCGGCTAGGGCTTATGCATTTTGCCGATTAATTGGTAACACGCTGCTCAATTAACACTGCGTAGAACTTATTATGATAAAATATACATTAATTCAGAATTGTTTGGGTATTTCTTAAATCTATCTAAGGGTTGCTTAATATATCAGGAATACGAAATTGGACCAGCTCAATCACTGAATATATTTATTTTATTTAATCAATCAATGGATTTTTAAGTGATGTTTCGTCTTAAAATTTTTAAATAGTAGTACAAGTTCTATATTTATTTTTATATGTTTTGGGGTGATCATGAACTGAGATTAGACTTTATACTAAATATATTATATATATATATAATATATATTATATAGGTAGTATCACAGATCATATTAAAATAAATATAATTTAGTAGTAGTAGTGGTAGTATACTTTTATTATAACCACAGATTATATTAAATTTATAGTTAATAATTTATTTAATTTATTTTAACATAATCTGTGTTATAACTATCTTAGTTTTATTACTCTAAGGTTCATGGTGGTAATAACTGATGTATAAAATACCATGAAGACTTGTAAAGTTGTAAACTATGATCTTTACGTAAAATACTCAAATACCACGATTATAAAGAACTTACATAAATTTATATTCTTTATAATCGTGTCAAATACCAATTTTGAATATAGCATCACATTCATATTATCGTGTTGTATTGATAAGACAACTCTGTAAGAATCAAATACCTTATAGGTATAAGGTTATGGTTAAAATCAAAATTACTGATAGCGCGATTGATAAAGTAATATTAAAAACATTAAATATTTGTAATCTATCTCAGAAATCTAAGTTAATATTTATTATTTAGAAATAGCTGCAAGAGATAATATTGGAATTCTAAATCATAAAATATCTAGTTATATAAAATTGTTTCAAGTTACTTTTAGTTCCAAAAATCTTTTCTTTAATAATAATTTTATTTCAAAATACATTTTTTAAAGTAGTTTATAGATAAAACACTTTATTACTGTTGTCATAATCATACTAGGTGCTTGTATGCAGTCATGTTTGCATCAAATGCATCGTCAGATGTTAAGGAGGGACGTACACCTCGATATGGAGGAGGACCCCACGGGTTGGGTATGTACATTTTTTAATGATACTTTCCTTCAATATTTACAATTTGTTTCTTTAAAAATTGTTTCAATTATATTTTCAGGAGATCCTGATAGTTATAAATTGAGAAAAATTGAACAAAATGTTGTAATACCAAAAATTGTACGAGAAAGAGCAAAATATGAAAAATGTTCTGAAGAAAATAAAGGTAATGATAATTACCTTATTAAGGTAATTATACTAGGACTAGATATTTTATTTATTGATAAAATGTACTGTTTATAACTGTGTTTAGTTTTTGGAGATTGTTGCCTGAATACCGGATTTTGGATGTTTTATAAATGCAGATCAGAAGTAAAAGGATTAAATGATTGCATGGCCAAGTGGTTTGTTAATGAAGATTTTATTAAAGAATGTCGAGATCAATATTTACAAGAACGGAGACAATACAGACTGACTGGAATTAAAAAAAATGCAGAAGTACAGAAGATGAAAAGTTAAAAAAATTAAAGATTAGAAATAACTGACCTATTTAGTCCTTTAATCTGTATATTTTTGTTTTTAGTCACACAATATATAATTTTTTTGTGTAAGGTTTACTCATATTAACAACATTAAGGTTTTTTTCTATTTTGTGATGGCACCCACCGTCTGACTATAGTGTCATTGACAGTGTATTGTGACAGATCGATCAGCATACCTTCTTCATATGAAGGACCAAGAACTGTGCATATAAGTAAATCTTTACTGGCGGCTTCTATTGCTCGACCACATCCATACCATGAGGGCCATGATGGTAACAATTCACTATTTTGACCATTAACACTGATCACGACCACATATGAAGAATGATAATAAGTTGGTGATGATTTGTACAGTACTGAAAAAATGCATACATCAATTAAAAAAAAATTATTGTAATTCAATATTTATAACTTACCATAATCTCCTCCATACTGTTGTCCAGGTTTGACAACCCATCCTTTTGATCTATAATAATGATAAGCTGCATAAAAATATGGAAAATTTTTTTTTAAACCATTAAATTGCTTCCAACATTCAATAACACTTATGAGTGAACCATTTTCATTTCGCATTTCCAAGCATTCTAATGTATAACATAAAAAAAAAGCTTCTTCTAAAAGTAAAAAGTATGATAATTCATGTTGAACACCAGATAGAATTAACAACTGTTCATATTCTGTGGAACAACTAGATTTTAATTCTTTCCAACTATTATAAACTGGCTTATTAGCAGCATAAGCTTCTTGAAGTTTGATGTGCAAGTTTTTCTCATCAATCACGTTCTGGTTATTATGAGGAAAATCAAACGGTACTAATTCCATTGCTTGCCAATTCTTTTTTTGCCTTAAGACTTGATTTTGAAGGGTTTTGTAGTCTATAAATTTGTCCTTGTCAATTATGCCCAATTGTCCAAAACAACCCTGATATTAAAAAAGATTAATTCATGTTCCTAAAAATTAAATACTAAAAATTTACAAACCAAATTGCTAAGGCGGGATTTGTCATTTAAATCGTTGATGATAATAATTTTCCCATTAAAAATTCCTTGGTATTTTGGCCATGAATTTTGATCTAAAATGTCTCCATTTTCGTCATAAATTGGTAAATCAATCAGTTTAATGTGTTTTACATTTTTTTTTGATACTGGTGGTTTCAAAGGCAACATTTTTACAATAGACTCAATTAAATGTTTAAATAAAAAAAATTTGGTAAGTAAAATACTGAGTTTGAGTGTTTATATATAATTAATTTAGATTTTGATAAATTGTTTTTAGATTTAGCTTTTTTATCTTGTAATTTATCATTATCAAAAGTAATTAAAAATAAAATTATATCAACAATTATTTTAAAATAAAGAAGATCAATAATAAATTCTCAACATTTCTACTATTCATTAACATAAATCATATTATATTATAATATTAAATGATTATTAATATTAGTATATAATTTATACTCCACTCGGTCTAACATTAATAAACCGTGCTATGGCTGTAGTTGTAGTGTAGTCTTCATTATTATCTATAAATGTTAATAAATAATAATATGTTTTCACTCGTTATTATCATAACTCACATTTTTTATAATTCTCTTATCGTGAAAATTATGATAGTTTATCAGTGTAGCCAATAGCCGTGTTGTGGGGGAAGAAAACTGGTTTAACAATCTAAGGCATACAATATTACTAATTACTAATAACTGTTACAGTTTTACACATAATTGTGGATTGCTACAACAGCTATAAAAAAATTGAATTATTAACGGTAACCAAGTGCTAATTACTTCTATAAGATGCGATATGATAATATGTAAAAGTACACGTTATATCTAACTATATAATAAAAGTATAATATACTTATTACTGTTGGCTTAATGAAGGACGTCATAATTTTAAAGTAAGATATCAGTATTTTAAATTGAAATTTTAAAATGCCTATAATTTGCTTAAAAATTAAAATATCAAAAAAAAAGTCTATTAATGTGCTCTAGATATTCTTAAATTTAAATGTCATAATAGGACAATTCGTACTAATAATAAAAATTATATTTCATATAGTCTATGTACGCTGGCAATGCTGTGAAACCCTAGTTTTGCTCTCCGTGATACAGTCATAGGAACATTTTGCATTTTTATCGACCACGAACATCAGTGACACCGTACACTTGGTACATCCAGTGATTTTATTGTGGGAGTATACGGCATATATATAGATGCCACACGTAACAATTCACTTCTCTAGTTTATTTTTTAGCTTATCAACTCACTAAATTTATTATAGGGTGCTTAGGAAGAATATCTCCGTGTCTTTATGCCTATATTAGTACTTTACTTAAACAAAATATAATACGGTTGGTATGACAGTAGCTGATAGATAAGTAGATGATACCAAATGATTATCAAAAGATATTTTGTGAATTAATGACCAAACCAAAGTTAAGAACCATAAACTCAACAGTTACCAATTTTTAGTTATTACCCATTAAAAAAAATCAACCGTATTATGTTCATTACTGATATCATACTCTTTCAAATAATAATATGTGAACATTGTGAACATTTCAAAGTATTGATTTTTTAGCATCAGATATTAAGATAATTTAAATGTTTGAACATAAACTATACTTGTACTTAATTGGTATAACTACCTATAGGCCTTAGTGAATATTAATTTCGAGAGAAGTGAATTTTCTTCTATGATAAGGCTTTTAGTTTTTGCCATTATCACAACGAAACAGGCGTATATCCACAAATATTTTAACTTTTAAGCAATACATCACTTGGTACCTATATCCAGACTATTCAAAAATCATGTAGGAATAATAATCTTAATATTAGGTACCTATATTCAAACTTATAATTTCGAGTTAATACGAAGTAAGTCATCACGCCACTATTATACTCTAATTAACATAGATTAGCTATATAACAGTTTTTAATGGTAATGAGAGTGAGTGGGTCGATTTATATTTTGTTTATTAAATTTAACTGGGCTGTTCGGACATTGGGCCACACCGCCCAAGGGCTGAGCATATAGAATAGAGCAGAGAGTATAATAAAATCAGCAACTGTTGTGTGTCGTGTACCAGCGACTATCTATACGGTATAGACTATAACTACCTACGTAGTATGTATTGATTATACATTTACCCTCCAATTATTTGTAAAACAACTGTATAGAAACACTGATTAGATTAAAAACTTTTAAGTCCTGTATAGTTTTATCAAAATCAAAAATGGTTAACTCAAATATAAATCATTCATCATTGATTATACACTATAAATTACCTACTATAGACTGTAGTACGACAATATAGTATATTTAAGTAAATACCTATACTATAAGCTAACAAATTACATTATGGAGGTACGTAAACATATTATAATATTCTCAAAGACAAATTTAACTTTTGTTTTTGATCAATGACACATGCTCATATTATACATGATTAATAAAAGAAAATTAATTTTTTATAACATATATAAGTAATTTGAATTGATTAGATGAAATCATTTATTAGCAACAATTAAAATTAAAATTACTCTCCATATCAAAATAAGATTATTAGGTTTCAATAGCATTTATAAATTAGAATATTTATTTTTAAGTGAAATATGTGCTTATATTATATACCCCAAAAAACTTAAAAATATGCATTAAAAATTATAAACAATAAAAAATAAGCACTTAAAATATTTTTAAATACATTTCCATATATTTGAAATTTAGTAATATATTAATTTAAATTTCAGAAAACAAAAGGCCGGCAAAATATTATAAGTTATAACACTCGGACATGGAAAAAAGAATAATTTATTAGATACCAAAAACTACCAACGTGTAGGTGACGTATTTTGAATTTTATTTTCATAAACCAACTCGCATAACTAGGTACATATTTTCGATCGTCGATCACTGACCACGTTGTTGTACATTATATTTCTGACCTACACAATATGATTAATTACTATCCATGAATATGAATCCATGATCATAATTAATGAATAATGATAGTAATTGGTAAAAATTGTTGAATAAACGCCAATATACCAAACACTTTTAAAATATGTAAAATAAAACTTTGTTTTTAAATTCTCTGCACTAGTGAACTACATAATTTAGAAATTAACCTTAACTTTATCAATAAACAAATATATATTTTCTGGTTTTATCAACGTTTTATCGATATCTAGTTATTTATAATATAGGTATACAATGAGAAAAACAAAACACGAACCGATGAGCGAAAACCACTGTTTATCTTATATCGGTACAATCAGGTCACGGAAACCGCGAACTATTATGCAGAGCTGCATAATATTACTACGAGTCATCGGTATACCTATCATGTCCTAACATTACCAAACGCAATACCTACAATAATAACGAAAATAGAAAATTTGAGCATAGAAATATGAGAAAAATGCCAAAAATCATATGTTGAAACACCAATCTTGTACATGAGTAATTATATGTAATATGACGTACATATCCGCGTAGTATGTACCTAAACACCCAATACAACATGCATATAAGTAAAATGGACAAATGCTTGCGACGGACAATTATCGACTATCGTGTCTTTTTGACGTCATGCCGTGTGTGTAAACATAAATAACAGGTATATATACATATATTATGATACACCTTATACCCACAATACACGCATATCCGTATTATGCGTACTCCAATATAGCGTGTGCATGTAAAAACGCGCCATGTGCATATATTACGCCCGAATTCGATCGTTGCCGCCTAAGAGCAATATAGAATAATAATAATATATAATCGTTGGCGGAGGACGCCCACGGTCGAGGAATCAGCGTTGCGCGCGACGAAATCGCATGTACCATATACACCATATACGGGGTGATCCGCATTAAACTGGTAACAGTAATTTTAAGTCATAAGTGTACATTGTACGCATGTATAATTTTTTCAAAGTGTAAAGTATTTATGACACAAAGTTTTTACAAACAAAAATATGTGTAATTGTTTAGCTAGTATTTGTTATCAATTTATCATATTTATAATCTATATAATATTATGACTATACATTATTGTATCTGCTTGCGGTGTCATAGGGTTTTTTCATCTTGATGTTTATTTTATCCAACACATTAATTTAACACAACTTGCAGGAATAGAAAGCTTTTCTGAAAATGTCAAGGTGCATCGAATGATGAACAAAATATGTGTTGGGAACTTCTCTCCAGCACAATACATATTTTACTCGGGTGACCAAGAAAATGGACTTGAGAAATCATAAAGTAGTGTTGCGTAAAAATGGAACATCCCGTATGTACAATATATATGTATAAATATACGCGTATACGGGCGCTAAAGGTTTTCCTTGGTTTCCGCGGTGCGTGGGCGGCGGTTGCGAGGCGTCTGCGGGGGTGGTTTAGGACGCCGGTGGTGTCGGTGCGGGTCGGTTACGGCGGCGGCGAGCGGGTCCGCTGTGGGCGACTCTGCCACGTACAACTGTATGGGTTAATACGACCGTGCAGTTGGACGGCGGTGGTGGAGTCGTTGGAGGTGGCGAAGGTGGGTGTGGAGGTGGTGGCGGCGTTGTAGCTGGTATGTGTAGCGCCCTCGACGGGGGTGCGCGCGGTGTTCCGTTCCCTTACGACGCGGCACTGTCGCTTATAGAGTAGTCCGTTCCGAGGGACCCGATCGATCGTCGAGCGGACGCCGCTCACCCACACACACACACGCACACACTCACACATTCACACACACACACACGAAAACTTACGCACACGCTGAGGCGAAAACTTACACACAGACACTATATATGTCACTATATAACGTACGGTGGGACGACGCGCGCGCGCACACGAACACAGACAGTACTGGCGGGCACTCACACGCGCGCGCGAGAGCTCACGGCAGCCAGTGCCTTCTACAGTCGTCGTCGACTCCGCCGCCGCTGGCAAAAACAAACTTTAATTTCAAAAAGAATTTTAGTCTGGTACCATCTCACATAGTCGTCGTTGTAATAATATAACATATTATACCGCGCATATCCCGCCGGCCTGGTGTACCTATATACGTTATCAGAATACCCCTACGCACAGGTGCCACAGAGAAAATTATAAACCTGCGACAGAAGACTGAAGAAGAACTTTATATATTATATCTATTCGCCGCGTAGCGCAGGTAAGACATAACTACGCTGCAGCTGAGTCGCCACTGCTGCACTTACAGCGCTCATATTAAACTATATAATATAATATACATTATATAGGCAGTCGTCGTCGCACGACTCGCACATTCGCGTACAGCAGCGACCGTAGTCGAGTCGTTGTCATTCCGATCGCTTTACGGACAAAATGTGAGTATAATTTACTTTTATACCGCTATAAGTATAGGCATGCATATATTATTTTATGTTGGAGTTCGTTTAAGAACAATAGTTACAATATAATGTGTAAAATATATTCCATATAATATAGCTTTGTTGTTGTCACATCAGTTTCGTATGCGAGCATCGAACCGTCCCCGCGTGAGCTCGAGGGTCACGTCGTTTTCGAATTCCCACAAACTTTCCTCGGTGGCGGCAGCGGGGAGTGGAATAGGCTGTTTTCGCTCAACGCCCAAACGCGGTCGAGTATAATATAGCTGTATATATACAGTGTTCTCCGCGCGACACCCACCACCACCCTCTCCCACCCACCGCCAAACCCTTCCAGACCGTTTCCGACAGGAATTCGCTTTCGGGGAAGTCCACTCCACCACAACGACCGCCGGTGCCACCACCACGCCCGTTTGTGCGAGATATATGTTACCCTCGTAAAGTCGTAACAACCCGCTCTGAATGAAACTTACGCGCCTTACGATATTTTCGACAGAGACCGTTTTTTCCAGATAGGCGTATAACATATTATATCACGTCCCAGGATCTATGTATATTATACGTTATAATATTATTATGATGTGTACGTGTTTTCATCTGAACTTTCCTGCACGTAATCCCGTAGGCGGCCCCCCGTTTTTACCATCGATTTATCAGTGGGAGGCGGCGATGATGGTGTGCTGTATAATCATATATAGCTATACACAGAGTTCCTACCTATATAGGTATAGCCGGTATAGGTCAATTTCAGCTGCAGCTTTTCGTCGGCGTATTTTATACACACGATATTATATTATTTACCCACAGTGCACTATATAGACAGCCCCTATTTAGTGTACACTGCATTTCAGTACGACACAAGTACGAAAATTCATATTATGTTCAGTACCTACATGCAACTTAAAAATAAATGTGCTGCTTATATTATTATATATAGCATTCAAAATGTCCAAATTATTTTTACAACTTCGCCCGTATACTCACACTTAAAGCTGCAGCTTGAAATAATATACAACATAAAGTGTACGGAACGATTTTTTTTTTAATCGGGGCTAATACTAGGTGAAAATATTATATGCATAACATAATACTTATAATACGTATTTCTGACTTTGCTTTGGAAGTATTACTGTAGTATCTAATAGAACATAAATTAAGTATTTATAACTAAATGATAAACAGTAATGGCAGTAAATAGAAAATACACTTTTTATGTGTAATAATTTGGTATAATCATATTGCGAAAATGTTTATAACATACATTTATAACGCTACAATTAGTCGGAAAAAATATCAATATTTACACACTATAGGTACTAAAAAATGTTAAACGTATATTAAATAAACTATTTAATAAAATATTCATATGGGTTAGTTGAATTCAGTTGAATGAAGTTATTCATTAGAAATATATATATATATTTTTTGGCTACTTCGATTTAAAAACTAAATAATATTAAGTTTTGATTTTGGATAGGCATTATAGAACACTCTTAATTTCAAAAAACTATATTTTTTTGACAAAAAAAAAACAACTTCGAAAGGCCTAAATATACAATGTATTTAATGCTTAGTATATTCTGTATTACTCTAATTGCAATTGTTTTCATGTTTGTTTGCCTAATTTCAATACGTAATTAAATTAGTAAAGTTAATTATTAAAAAGTAAATTCTGAAAAAAATTCAACAAAATTAATTCATATTGTACTGGGTACTCGATTTTTTTCGATCTCCACACCCTTAAAATCGCCCGGAACGCAAGTCGGTCAAGTGAACTACCTACATACCTACGTAGAAACACATATTGTGTATTGCTAGCTATATTACGACGGCTATTGTGAAAACGCGTGTCCTGTACCCACCTTCAGGAATCCGATGTGCAAACATGGCCCCGCTGAGCACGCGTGACAAATACAACAAACAGTATTTCGTGTAATTCAGCAAACAGACAAGGGTCGAAATACCTTTTTGCATAAAACATAATACGCCCTTCTTCATTTCTCGCGTCGCCAAAGAAACCATTTACTCGTACAACGATCGATGATGATTATGATGATTATGAATATGATGATAATATGCATTATACATTTACACGTGTATTGTAAGTTGTGTATGTATGAAATAGGGCCGATGGAACAGGCGCTGGACTTACCGCAGGAGATGACACAGTGGTCGGAGGCCCGAAGACACCTCAGCAAATCGCGGCGCAAAAGCGATTGCAACAAACACAAGCACAAGTCGATGAGGTGTGTACGAGCTCAAAAACGATGCGATTTATTTGATACTTACTATATTAATCGATGTATTTTAGGTGGTGGATATTATGAAGACGAACGTGATGAAGGTACTGGACAGGGATCAAAAACTCTCCGAACTGGATGACAGAGCAGGTTTAAACCGTTTTAGCTCATTATTTATCACTTTTTTTATTTATTGTTAATTATTTGTATTTATTTTTTTTTTTTTGTCACAGATGCATTACAACAAGGGGCATCGCAATTTGAACAACAAGCTGGAAAACTGAAGAGGAAATTTTGGCTACAAAATTTAAAGGTATTTAGTTACATTATTCAACATCGAGAAGCATTTAAAAAATATGAAAATTCATACTCGTTCATTTATTTTTATCAATTACTCAAAAACATATAGCACGACTCAGTTTGAGAGAAAAAAGATGAACTCATAATTATTAAAGAATTATTTTTTATTAGATTGAAAAAATCGATTTTTGACAATCTTGTTTACAAAGATTAGTATATTTTAAAACCAACATTATTATGTCTAACCTCATGAGTTTTTATTTAAACATATTAATATATTATATAGACCAGTAGTTAATAGATTAAATCAACAATGTCTATGAAATTAAACCTAAGACCGATATAGGATTGTGGATATATGGAATAAAATTGACTCTAACAGCATGTTGTATTATATTTAAGGTACACGACTGTTATTAGTCATTTTGTGTATCAATTTGATGTAAAATATATTGAAAAATAGGTCAAAATGTCAAATACCCGAAAACGACATGTCTATGAGAAAATATGGGGGCGCCGCCATACACTGATTCTTCTATAGGCGATCTATGAAAAATGAAAATAATATGAAATATATATTTTAGTTGGTACCTATAGTTAAACCTATCTAATACGGACATGAGTTTCTTATAAATATACCTACCAATTCGAAAATTACACGAATTGCTGTTATATATTTAAGTTTTGAAATCAAATGGTAGTATTATTATGCCTAATAAACGGTTTTATTTTTTTTAAATTCCTACCTTGTTTAATAAACTTAAAGTTGAGATTTAAAAACAAATGTAAGACATATAGATAGGTAATTAATTTTTTTAATGTTTGCATATTTTGATAACATTCGGATTTATTTTAAAACGATTTTAGATCCTTAAGTTTTAATAATGGTTAAAAGTAAATTTGTTACGCTGCGTGTTAGATATCAAAATGATAGTAAAAATTGGGATAATACTAATGTTAGTATAATAGCATAACCGGAAATATGCAGCAAGATAACCACCACAATATATTTATATGCATACATACATAAATAAATATCTAATGAATGCTTTACCTATAAACAAATAGAAGTAGTTTTACTAAAAACTTGCAACCATATTTTAAACACAAGTCGATAATATTTAGAAACATGTTTATGATTGCATTTCTGTAAGTTTTTATGTTAGTACCTATTTCATTCATAGATAATAAACTTGGGTTCTAAAGTTTGAAAATTTTGAATACGTCATTCTTAGTTTTTGTAAAGTCAGGTTGGTATACAAAAGTTACGATTACAAAAAAACATATTACCATTAATATATTATACATTTATCCTATTATCTATGAAGTGTTATATGGTTTTAATAACTTTTCTAAAAATTGTATTAAATATTAAAAATGTCAAAAGAGTTAAAATAAATTTAAATTATCAAAAAACCTTTGGTGAAAAAAATTCATAGACCGTATTATATTAGATTATTTAAAAATAATTACCTCCCTTCATAACTTATTAGACAGTTGCTATTTCATAAACTTTGTAATTATTATTATGATTCATTTTTAACACACAATAGTGTTTAATTTAAAAATAATTTTTTTTTTAAATAACTTTTTAATCTTGGAATTATTGTGTATTAAAGATGGAGAAAACACAAATTGTATGAGACTTATTGGAAGAAAAATACACAATTTATACTTTTTGATTACTCTAACCACTGTAGACTGTAAAAGTTAGTAACATACGCGAATAAAGTCAACTAACGTTTTTTTATAATTTAACCAAATACGTTCTAACTAATTCTATGATGTACGGAGATAACCGAATATTTAACCATGGGCCACACCCACTTGTAAATAAGTAAAACAATTTTTCAAACCTAATAATTACTCTTATCAATAATTACCTATCTTATTGTTTTTATAATTCTAAATTTCTAACCACTTAAAAAGTACACAACATTATTTATTATGGAATTCTATATTAGAATACTAGCTAAACATTATAGTTACTAGAAATATACTTTGTAAAAATGACTCAAAACCCAAAATTAAAATAGATTTATAACATTACATTTTGTAGGCATTTAAAAATGTTTTATACTTAGGGTGGATTTGATTAATGTTAAATATCACTTATATTTTTACACATCGTAATATTAAACGATTAGAACCCCTACCTCAACAAATATATGTACCATGTGTTTATAGCTTTCTAGTTTCTACTAATATAGTAATAAATATGCAGGCTTCATAAGTAAAACAAAATGAAGCGTTGTAGAATATTTAGTTCAATACTTAAATTATTTTTCATTACAATACTAAAGAAATAAAATAATAGTTTTAAATAAATACAATTCGAGTTAACTACAATAATTGATCAATATGGCCAACAGGAAAATCATAATACTTGTTCATTCTGATCTTTGAGTAAATACTTTACTAGCTCTATATTATATTATGAGGACTCTGTTTATTTATAAACATAATGTATGGTTAGTGGTTACAATTTAAAATAATTCATTTTATTTTATTTTTCTTTAAAATTATCAATTTTGATAGATTTATATAGGTTTTTCTTAAAAAACTTTGAATTAAAGAATTTTTTTATTTTTTGTTTCAGATGATGATCATAATGGGAGTTATTGGTCTCGTAATATTAGCCATTATAGTTGGTAAGTTCCAATAAAAACACTTTGATGGCTTAAGAATGTATAACATACCGGGAAATTATACAAATTTACCTATTCACAAAAATAATTGTTTAAAAACGAATACAATATACAATAGAATTTAATTAAGCATTCCTCAAGTTTCAATTATATATGATATAAAATTTCAGTTAGAAACACACAAAATTAACAAATATTGTTTTTAAAGCTTATTTTTTTATTCAAAATTCAACTTTGATTTATCCTTATAATACTATAAACATAATTATGTATTATCTATATATTATATATATATTTTTTTTTTTTAGTACTTATTTGATTACCAATATAATATATAATAGTATATATACAAATATATATGTATACATTATAAATAAATACATATATATATATATACATTTAAATATATAAATATATATGTATGTATTATGTATATAAATGATTGATGTGTTCAGCTTAAAAATATTGTTGTTTAGCTGAATTTAGGACATTCGTTGTACTATAATATAAGGTCATATATAATATCAATAATATTTCCTAAATATTACTCGTTTATAATGTTTGAATAACACAGTATTATCCATTTTTAGAATAATTTATTTAGGTAAAAAGTTAATGAAATAAAACATAATTTTATTGTGCTATTATTAATGACGTGTCTTGTATTTGACAATGTATATTATATATGGGATATAATGTACATTATATACCTAATATTATACATATTTAAACCCTCTCAACATATTATACTCTATACCTACACAATAAACTAGAGAAAGACATTAAACAAAGCAACGGAATATTTTTTTAAAAAAAGGAGAGAAACACATACATAATATATTATACATTAATACATTATACTTACACAATGGATAATCATGCTTTGTTTTGTGTGCTTTATATTTTTGTGTGCCGTTTATTTATTATTATAATTTTTTCGTTCCAATAACGTCATGTGTTATATGCATTTTGTTTCGACAACCGTTGATACTTAAATACTTGAACATAATTCTTGTTGAAACAATCTAACTCGAACACACTATTCTCTTCGGTATGTAATCTATTATTAGGTAATTTGTTTTTAAATTGTACATTATTTAATACTTTTATATTTATTCCGTGTTATGCACTAGTATTGCTACATATTATCACGAATTTAATTTCAGTATTAATAACTCCTAAATATATATGAAACTAAGAATTGAAAACAAATGCTATGCCTTAAAAAACCTTTAAATATTGTAGTCCTCCCATTATTAAATTATTTAGTACCCATTTAATTAGGCTGGTCATCAGCGATACATGACTGTGGACGTTCGAACTAAAACAGTATGCACAGAATATAGATTATATTATACATTTTTACATGATTGAATCGATTATCAATATTTCTTTGACTATTACATTAATTATCCATCAGTAATTTCATTCAGTCGTTTATATCAAACATGTAGCTATTATTTTAAATACCCATTTAATGTATGTACATTTGCATGGCTTATTATTATTTATTTTTACTCACACGAAATTGTGCACCATGGTATTTTAATAATTATTATTGCAGTTCAATCAATTCACATAGTAACAAATTATTTTTTATCAAGTTATTAATAATATATTATGAATCGCTCAAAAAGTTAACTTTTGTATCTATTGTAGTTTTTAAAAATTTACTCTGCACATTAAAATAATTGATCTAAATATTGTAACTGTGTCATAACTGTATAGTTACTTATAATTTATTTTCGTATATATAGTTATTTTACTGTAATAATAATATAATATATTAATATACCTACACTATAAACAGTATTATACAGTACCAATACACACAATGAAATAAAGTGATTCCCTTAAACTATACTTTATAAATTATATAATTATAACATGAAGTATATAAATTAATTTTAAAGAACGTACCTAATACAGTTAAATAATAATAATAAAATTAAACATAATATTTAATTATTGACATAATAAATGCATATTATTACAACTTCCTATTATAAAGAAAGTAGGTACTTTCTACTATATTATAAAATGTAATATCAGAAATTTTCATATGACATCTAAATTTAACTGGTGAAAATTAGTATAAAAGCAGCATTTTTATTTTATACATTTTTTGAAAATGTATACTTGTCATTTCTATTTAATTAAAAATGACATTTTTCTGATATTATTCATAACAACCAACGAAAATATATGATTATATACAAATTTCCTTCTAAAAAATTGTATTAATTGCCAGCCATTTGCATACTTTCAACGTGAAAAATATGATTTTTATAACTGAAATAAGTTAATAAATAGAACGATGAAAAATAATAAAATTTAAATTATAGATACAGTGTATCTACATTTCTTTTGATAACTTTTATACACAACAAAGTATAGGAATACCATTAACTTAGAGTCCACTTAAAATATAAAATATGACTATGTGGTGTATGGTAAAGTATTTGATCTACTAGACTACTAAATATTTACTGCAGAATTTGTTTTATCTTGAATATTACTATATTAGCCATTAGGTATGTGAAAACTGAAGTATAGGAAGCTGGATATTTTCATTTATTTGTTCATTGTACCTATAGTATTATTATTTATTTAACATGTTAAACATATTGTGCTATTTCTAAATAAAAAACACATTATTTTCCTAGTTTTTGAGTGTAAACATTTTGAATCATTTGAAAATGTACACAAATTAGAACGTTGGAGACTATATACTGTAGTAAGGGAGAAAGCGCATTTTTGGTTCACGTTGGTTAAATCGGATTCATCGACTATTTTTATTTGAAAGCGTAGTAATACACCAACATGCTGTCATGCGGTCCTAGCCACTAGGTCATCAATTTTATCAATAATTTAATGAATTATACGGTAGATCACTTACTTAATCACAGTCAAAAATATTATTTATTATATAATACAATTTATACAATAATTTACAATTTTTTATTAAATACTTACTTGATATATATTTTCAATATTGCTTTTAGTTATAGGAATACGAGTATCAATACAGTTGTTGGTACTTTGTAGTTACTATATATTATGTACTTATTTTTATAGAGCAATTTTATTTAAATTATTACCTTTATACTATTAAATAGATTGCATTGTTTTTAATAATTACTCCGTCTTATTTAATGTTTTAAAATATGTATATATTTTTTTTTACAGCTTGGTTTTCGGACGAATAAAGCACAGGTAACAAACTTCGATGCGGGCCACCACACACAATGACAACTGATACAACCGTCAAAATCGTGACTCTTTAAATGATAAAGAAACTGAAGGTGCATTAAAATAAAAATAAAAACTTATAGGTATATATATATATACAATATACATATATATATACTAAAAATACATAAATATCGCTTTGAAAAACTGCCCCTGCCCAAAAAAAAAAAATACTCCCTATCGTAATGCTCGTTTAAAATGATTTTTGTTATACAAACACACAAATTTACTTGACATACACGCCGTACCTCCCCTATACGGCTATTTCCATAATTAAATAAATTTAAAAAAACTTCATGTACTTATCTGTATATATAACGTGTATGTATGTGTATGGGTGTGTGTATACTTTCTTTAATACCAAAGTATACGAATTCTTAATGAGTTTAAACAAGAAATACAAATATCTATAAAACTATAAACGATAGAATATCCTTTTGTAAATATCACTTAAAACTATTTTATACAATGTACATGTCTATCATCACATATTATAGGACTATAACGGAGTTTGTATTCCTTCACTATATAATATATTTTATTGAATCATAAAAATTGGGTAGGATTCTCAATACATTACCTACGCTACAATAATATATTATACTCATACGTATATTATTGTTATTATTATTATTATTATTATTATATGTATGAAAACCTATTCATTGTTATTTTATAGAGTACTTATATATTTATATGAGTATTGTTTGTACTTATAATATTTATATTCGCTTATTTAATTTTGAATAGTTTATTCTATGTGTGGGAAAAACAACAGCTAAGCATATAGTAATCTATTAAATTGTGATAAACAACATGGAAAAATAAATTGGTTTTCAGATAATTAAAATCATAATACACGTAACACATAACCCTGGGTCTAATATTAAAGGGTTATTTAATATATTTTATTCCAAAAAAAATTTTTACACTCATTTAAGATAAAATGAACTCTCTCATCTTTGAAAAACTTTATATCATAATAAAATAATAAAATAGCAAGAACAGCGCAAATAAAACAACTTAAAAATATGATTAATTGTTATGTTGTACGTTTATATTTAACGTATTTACGTATTTGAAATAATAATCATGTATACATGCCCATTTTTAATACCATGCAATGATTTGTATCCAAAAATTGAATAAGTCTGCAAAAGACAGAAAAAAGCATTTTTAAATCAAAAGTAGGTAAATAAATATGTGTATTTTCAAACAAACATTTTTATTGAAGTATTTGTTATAGTTTTACTATAGCTTATTATGCAGAACTGTTTTTTTTCCTTCGTTTATTCAATGTTTGGCCGTAGGTACCTATGATATATGTGCATTGTGCATAATATAGAATTGTCATTTCATTTTAAAATGTACCTATACACAGGATAGCGCCTATATATTTAGGTAATCATGATATATGAATTAATGCAGAGCAATATAACTATACATGCATAATATTTTACTACTACTAATAATAAATAAATACAATTATATCACTTGTAATAGCCGTAGTAATTTCGGCGTGGTGGGTACGCGCCCATCCAATACTTAAGACTATTCTTGTTTCTCATTAATAACATTGCGCTTCTGTGACCATAATTCTTTTAAACTTTAACTTTTAATTATTAATGTACTTGCAAAGGTCAAGGCAATAATATAATCCTTCAAATAGAAAATTCCGAATATCGCTTTCGTCCGTTGCAGACTGGTATATTTAACAAAAAAAATCGTGGGAACCTGTTCTAAGCCTGCCTTATCTATGATGACCTATAGCGACTTATGGGGAGCTATATTATTTTTATTATTGGGGTTTTTATTTTTCGGTGGTGGGAATCGGAAGGGTTATTAATGATTATAAAGGGTATGCTTTAATATATGTATGTGGATTTATATAAACATCTCCCGCCGACAAAAAAAAAATTGGATGTATGACTTAGGCAGTTACTGGTGGAAAATAAATAATAATGATCAAATGTTAACAATTGTCTCCTTAACCGTTTAGGAAAATCAATGTAGGATTCTTTAATAATTTACATTTAAATAATGTCAAAAAAATGTCTATAAAGTTGACAATAAGGCGTTTATATACACTAGGTATGAAACATTAATGAATTATGTACCTAGGTATTACAGATAATGTCGTTGATTGAAAATTAGACCCATATGGTAATTGGGGTTTTTAAGACTGTAAACTTCCATAAAATTATTTTTAACGTAATCAAAAAAAAATCTAGAAGAACAATATAGAAACAAAATGTTAAGAAAAAAAAAAGCTTCGCTCAGAATTGTTTTTAGATTGTGTCATTATTAAATTTAATATTTTTTTTTAATGTGATAATCACGCTAAGGAACAATAAAAGTTGATATTTTTGTTTTTTTTTTATGATAAATATAAAGAATTTTATTCAAACAAAACAAAAACCTAATACCTAATAATCAGGTAGCTTATTGTTATATACCCATATGTTATACCCACATACTAAAATCAAATGTTCACTGGTGCAGTGGTGTGGTTGTACCCATGTATGGACACACTGTAGTTGGGGCTTGGGTTACTGCTTAAACATGATAACATTATACTGAAAACTTTTGTAATTATTCGTGTTACTTAACCGTTATTCGATAATTTAAGTTTCAAAACCAAAAATATAAAATATCAGTATTTATGAACTTCAATCTTTTTTTTCGATATAAGCCTCGTAACATTTAGTGTAATTTACTATTTTATTTATTGTAAGCCGATGAGGTATCGATCGCCATATCGGTAAATCCTGTCAGAAAAGTTTTTTATTATAATCATACATTTAATTTAAGACAACGCAATTTGTGCCTATTTGACTATTACATAAATAACATATAAACACCTCTTAATTAATAAATAATAATAATTGTTGTATCGATATCGAAAAGTTAATAGAGATTTATAAGGGTATATATTATATTTTGTCTCCCACAGTGTTATAGTATATTATAAAAACATAATATTTATTGTGTAATTAGGAAAGTAACATTTTTACTTTTTACTATATATTATTATATATCTCCATCGTCGACCAATATTGTCAAAATGTCAAGCTTAGTGATTTGGAAATTTGTTCTTATATTTTCCAACATATTATGCGTATAGAATTTTTATTGTAATAATAAGTTGAAATACACAACACCAATTTAATTTCGCAATACGCGTATATTAGATAACATTACCTATTTATAAATGAATAATATTAATTATTATAGTTTGTAAGAATTTGGTCTACGAAAATATGTATTGAACAAAAGATATAATATGCTCTTATATACCTATAGATATATTATAACCGGGTTGTTAAACGGAAACGTTGTGCGTATTCCGGATGTAATATTATTTATACGACGAAATTGTCATAATAACATATTAAGCATGTACAATTTTATCGAGTAGAAAACCTTTTTTGTGGCGTCTACTAAATTTTTATCGAATATAATATTATTATACACTTATGATGTGTGTGTTCGGGCGTATATTATCAAATAGGTATATGGATATTATGGTATTATACAATATATTATATTATATAATATATTAATATGTATATAATTATTACCATGAAAATGTTCCTCGAATAATATATATTATGTATCAGTGGTGCAGCCAGTGGGTTGTGGAACTAAATGGCCACACAGCCCTCTGCAAAATTTCAGGAAAATTTAAAAATGCATGTATTAAAATTGTTATTTCTATATATAGGTAATGCTGTTCGCCGATAATGGCTGTAATGTTTTATACCCATACCGTATCAGCATACAAAACTTATGAGGGATTCTAGAGTCTCCTTTATATACAACACATTATCCCAACCCCAAAGCAAAACAGGCGTGGCTCCAGAGAAGGACCAAAGAGCTACGCCCCCCTCCAGAGCCTGTATTTAAAAAAATTGTGCATTGTTAAAAACAAAATTACAAAATAAAACAAATAAAATATATAATTTGCTGAAAATTATGTCTTAGCCCCCCCCCCTCCCCAACCATGTCATTGGAGCCGCTTTTGAAGCATAATATTGGCTACGCCACTGATAAGCCTATCGATATATCGATGATAATATATATCAATATATCATACATATCAATACATATGTATTATTCATATAATACCTATACCTATAATAGGTATATCTAATACGTTATCACTTATCCCGCTGAGTAACTCGTGAGCTCTAGTAAATATTTATACTACCTACGTCCTACAACAATATTAGGCATAATATAGAATCACTGAACACGAGTATAATAAGTTGCAAGTGAGATTATTTCATGGTCCCGTTACCTGGGTACTTGGTAGATTTTCCACGATTAATCGTGTCACCAGTTTTAAGCGCAACGATGCCGGAGGAATATAATCTATTGTAATATCACATGACGGTATTTCTATTTATCTTACACAACACAATATCGTATTATTTTCGGGCGTCCGCCTTAAAAACAGTGCTATAAAAATATTTGTATTTATTTAAGTCTTTGATTTACATATTTTGAAGTTTTGAAGTCATATAGTATTAAAAAAATAATTTTATTATAAAAACAAATAAAAAACACACGAATAAATAACACGATTATATATACAAATGAAAAAAATGAACATCGAATTTCATAACAAATAACGATGTATAATACTATTATACACAGCAGTAATAGTATTTCATCGACCCTTCTACAGCGGTGTGGAAGCGAACACTCGTCGCCCCTTACTGCACCCTTAAACAACTATTAATTGCGATCGTAATATTATGCTCATAATATTTACGACGCGTTTTCAACGTATGGCCGTGTGCATAAGACGGACGGCACATCGAGTAAGATAGAATATAATATGTCACTATATTATACTGATAAAATCATAACTTTCATTAACTGTCTAAAAATTGACTATAAATAGCTTTTCCAGTTTTCACGGACATCATTTTAGGTGAGCAAAATTACAAAAACAAAATATTTCGGTAGGTCAAAAATCTGCACTACTACTCAAAAAAACCTTTTTTTCACAAAATTACGTAATACTCGGTCAAATGGCCAAAACCTCAACACGATATAATTCTCCCATCGTTTAACCGCTCACACCGTCCATTATATATATTATTATACACATAGTAACTGCAGTTATGTAACGATTATCATCCGTTACGATGAGAAAAGGCGCTGTAGTATCGATATCAAGGTGGCGTCATCAAATAGCTCGTCTTGCATCGGGCGTTGTGGGTTGCGGCCACAGCGTGTTTGTCAGAGAACTGCGCTTCGATCTCGTCGAACCGCTTGCCCATAGTCTCGGGCAGGCGGGCGTGTACGTACGCGGCCATGGCCAGCGATACGGCGGCGAATACGGCAAATGTCGCGGCCACGGAACCATTGCCGTCGTCAGCCACAGCGTACGGGAACGCTTTGAGCACGATGAACATGAGCGTGTATGCGTATGCCACGAGCAAAGCGCCTGCCGAAGCCCGGACCGAAACGGGCAACAGTTCGCCGACCAGTGTCCACGGGAACACGAGCACGCCGGCCGAGCCGCTGCACCCGAACACCGCAACGCCTATCAGCGACCACTGAGGCGCCGCCGTTGGGCCTTGAGTCAGCGCCACCAGGGCGGCTGAGCACGCCATGGCCAACGAAGACGCGATCAGTAACGGCCGGCGTCCGACGTGCGCGGACAGCGTGCATGCCACCACGCTGGTCAACAGGCGGACAATACCCAGCGCCACCATGGTTTCCATGTCTGTGTAAGGTCCGCCGAGGGCGGTGGTGCCGGCCACCAACCGCATGATAGGCACCGCGTAGAATATCACCGGGTAACAGCCGCTCAGCTGCTGCAACAGGAACACGGTGGCCAGCACGCGCACCGGCCGGGTCACAGTCTGCGGCTGCGGTGAACGCCACCAGCCACACCGCTCCCGGCTTCGGAAGTGTTGTGGCTGATGCACCGTCGTGCCGTCCGTAGTCGTCGTTGCGTTGGGGTACAGACGATCCAGTTCCTCAGCGAACACCTGTGAAACAAAACAAATCACTATTAAACTGTTGTCATGAACGTGCAATTATTCGACCAATTTTTTTACCTACTATTCACTTATTAATAAACCTACCAACTTATGTTCTATTACAGTACTTTGTTGAAAACATAAATAATTGAACAGTTATAACATAAAATAATGATACAAAGTTGACAAAAAATGTAAAATTATTAAATTATTAGAAATTAATATTAATAATAGTCTAATAGTCTAATACATAGTATATTACACTATGCAATTGTTTTAGTAATGTTAAATAACTTATAACTTATAAGCAATAGCCAATAAGTAATATTTATTATTTTATGAATTAAATGATTTTTTTGCAGTCAATATCACCAATGATAAAGCTTTCATGTTAAACATAAACTTAGTTATTCATTTTTTTCCTGATTAACCGATATCAGAGGAGGCTCTGAGTGAACAATACTACATTACTACTCCATTGGCTATTAATTTCATATGCAGCAATTATAGTGTTTATGAGTTGAAAATCAGCATTTGCATTATTAAGGGTTTTTGAAAAATAAATACAAGGTTTAGGCTATGATTTTATAAAAATTATGTAAAATTACCTAATATTCAGTTGGTTTTTGGTAGGCACCTAAAAAAATTAGCTGAATTATCATAACTACCATATTTAATGTTGATTGTGGGATTTTATTATTATTATTATTTGTTTAATAATAAATATTATGCCAGTCACCGAGCAGAAATCTGTTTGTTTTCTCTGACCCACAAGCAACATCGACAAAATAGATTCCCACAAAATTATCCATCATCATAAAATGTATAGAGAATAATATTTTTGTGATTTATCGATTTGCTTAAATATTGTTTCAAAACAATTTAATATCTATTTAAATTTAGAATTTGTTTTTGTTTATATTGTAAGTCGAATACAAAGTCTAATCGTCATAAAATATGTTAACCGTAAACATAACTCCTATCAATTTTTGCAATAGGTGATTTTACTTTAAGTTAGTAAGATGACCCAAAAATCATAAAACCTGAACATAGAATTAAGAGAGGTAACAAATGACAAGCTTGACATCCTCATAATGAAGGTATATTATTACGCATTTACGCATAATTTATATTTAAGCTGCAGTTGTTAATTATTTTATATCTAATGCAAATCTCAAGTGTTAGTAGGTATATATAAATGTCTAATCATTAATGTGTACCAGTGTTATTTTATCACGCACGTGTACATAAACACGTTTGTTGAGTGTTGTGAAAATCATTATTTATATTTTTGACGCCACGCAACTATTTTTATGCTACTTAACACTTGACACGTACAATAATATTTTTATGTTACTTTCTTAAAGTAAATATATACTTTTAAATATCAAACTAAAAAATAAATTGTTTTTGTATTCTTATATAATTGCCCATAGGCTATTATAGGTATTAGGTATATGTTCATAAAACGGATCGAATAATATTGTATTAATAAAAATTAACAGGTTGGTATATTATGCAGAATTTAGCTATTAAATATTTATTAAAATAAATTATAACCAAATGAATTCAAAACAAATCGGAAGCGTATCACCCATTCACGCAGCACGTTTTTGTACCTTGAACATCGATACGTAATATCGAATTTAAGATTGTTGAACTGCATTAAACAATATATTATAATAAACAATAACATCATATGGACACATGAGATGAGATAACCCATTGTCTCCAAAGTTACAATATGAATAAAATCACTTCGGAATATTTTATGGCAAACTTAAATTAGATGATTTGTGATAAGAAATCAGTAATTGACAGATGTTTTTACTATTAAGTACCTACATGGCTACATAATAAACACGTTTTTTTAAAAAATGTTGTCTGATAGCTACTTATTTAATATTTAGTAAGAAAAATTAATAAATTTTAAAGTAAAATTGACCTATTTCTCATTTAATCAATTTTCTAATATCATTAGGTAGGTACCTGCATTCGTAGTTCAGTTTTTTTAAACTGCATTCAAAATTGATACGGTTTTCAATTGTACGGCTTTGGTTTAAAATTATTTGCCTATAAGAATGGGACAATGACATGCACTTATGTGGGGCAGATATGGATATCATAGTCCTGTACTCCCACTGTTTGTTATTAATTATTATTTTATAAATCTGTTTAATCATGTTCAACATAATAATATTTAAAATTATAAAAATAAAAAATTTTATTAATTTTTAATTTTTTTATTTATAATTTTAAATAGATTAGTAAAGAGTAATAATTAGTAAGAATAAACTAAAATTTAAGAAGATATTAAGTTAAAATTGTATAGAAGTATTTTTGATATATTTTATCACATTCACAGTGGATATGTTTCGCTTTTTTTAATAATAGTTCCTATAAATGCAAATTATATAAATATATTCCTAAGACAGATACGATTTAAATATATAAGAATGTATCTTTACTAGTATTTTATGATGTAGAGCCAAAGGGTCCTTTCACCTACATGTCGGTAGTACATATATTTTTTTATTTTTATAAACATCAGTTCTACACTTCTGCATAAAGGTATATAGTAGGTACCATATTTTTAGCATTTCTCTTTAAAGTTATAAGAAATCTGTAGTATAGGAATACGTTGTATTTGCAAATCGGATTTTGGGAGTTCTGTGAAAATTGTCATACGAACTTGATCGTTTTTCGGGTATATTCTTCTCATCGAATTCCTGGTGTCGTGGTTACGGTTGGTCCGGAATTTGGCTAGCCAGACCGGACTCTCCGGCAGGAAGATGACCAGGAGTAATGTCGTGACGGCCGTGAATATGAAAAATATCACGTTGACTGCCTGCCATTGAAACAGCGAGCCGACGGTGGTGGCGAATAGTACGCCCACCGAAAAGAACACGCTGTTCAACGACAACAATACTTGTCTGTGCGAAGAATGAGCTATTTCCGAGACGTAAACGACGACCATGGACGTCATGCCTGCAAATCGGAAACGGTTCAAAAATCTGAACATATATAATTACCTAAAAGACTCATTGTATTCACCAAGCATGCACTGCACCCTTTTTTATGCTTTAACGATGCACTTGTTCAAATTCTGATTTTTAAATAATTGTCAAGCATGTTGTTCAGCGTTAATCATAATATCTTTAATTAATATGGATTTCGATGTTGTGTACCATTTAAGTATTATTTAGGGTGTTCTAGCTGTGGCGATACACCATTTTTTTTTATTGTAAATTGTTAAGCTGAGGATTTTGTTGATTTGGCTTGGTTTTGATTAGGGATATACCTTTCAAGTATTAAAATCGTATGTGCACAACTAATGATATCCAAGGATTTCGCTAATATTAGTTCGTTTTGTTCATAACGACTCTGCATGAGAGCTGAAGTATATGGTTACTGTTGTCTGTTATTAATTTAAAGACAGTCACTGATCATAAACCGACAGTATGTCCACATTTCATCTAAGTTATCGAGTCTTACCTCCGCCGATGCCAGCGAAAAATCGGCCTGCGTAGATCAAACACATGTTTTCTGGCCGAGCAACCGAAGCGATCGACCAGGATATCAAGAGAGGCACGGACGTGAGTAAAAAGGCGTTCTTCCTGCCGATCATGTCCATTATGACGCCGATTGCGATCGCCCCGATTGGCGTGCAAAACACCAGAATGCTAGCTAAAAGCATATTAACACACATGTTACAATGTTATATTATAAATTCTAATATAATGATGGGCTGAGGGGATATCGGAAATCGGCAGGTACGCCTGCGCAGCGTCAGATCTACCGATTTATAAACCCAAATAAGTAATTAAGCATTGGTAGAACTACGCCTATAGGACTGGACACTGGTGGTGTTTAAAATGTTGATACAACTATACAAACATTTGTTATCAATGGTGTTTTCGGTAACTACTACGATAATTACCAAATCACGGCATACCAAAAATACCACTAGCCCTAATTGATACCATTTACTAAACACGAATCTAATTACACCCAAATCAGTTGGTAGGTACTAGGTATAGCCGTATAGGCATACAGCCCGATGCCCCGATCGAAACACAAGACAGTTCTATTATAGTAGTATATATGTTGCCGTGTCTCTGATTTGAATACATCAGAAGGATATAAACACTATTTCCCGAACGCTAGAGACGTTCATGTTTTTAAATTTAAATTTTTATCTTTAATGACCTGTCGCTAAACAAAGAGTAAATTCATATCTACAGCTAATGGCCTCAGTTGCCGAAGCTTAAGATCAATAAAAAAAAAAAAAAAATTCATATCTATTTATATTTGTGATTCGGTAATATAGGTATACACTTACTTAACCAAGATAATTCTGAAACATCTGTAAATTCGTAGTGATTCAGAAATATGTTCGAGTAAACCATATTGATTCCGGGCTGAGTAACCAACAAAAAAGCAACTACGCTTGCTAATATCTAAGTAGAAATACGCGATTAGTGTGTAAAAATAAACCTTTGTAATCTGGTTTTTTGGTGTATAATATTTTTTAATTTATACGAGATTTGACAGTGTTGTGAAGTTTTCATACAAAACCGAGAACCAATCGGTAATCATAATATAATATTATAGTCATATTAACCTGAGGGAAAAGATCGCCCCAAGACAGTTCGTTTGTGGTGGCATTTTGTTCGACATGGGTTATGATTTCATTTGATTTGTATCTATGAAAACAAAAAAAAAAATTTCAGAAATACTTAAAAAGTAGAAAATAATAAATTATAGGTCATCATTTATTATGTAAGTATGTATAAAGATCTAAATTAGAAATTAATTCATGAAATAAAAAAATAAAACAACTAACTAACCTTCATCAAGGTCGTTTTTTATAATTGTATCTTAAATTATGCATATACAAGTATGATATCGAAAACGTGCAAGAGTAATAATGAGCAAATATAATATATAGGTAATAAAAAAATAATATAATCAACATAAAAAACAATATTAAGTGAGCATCTTGCAGTATTAATATTACTTAGCTGTATTTTGTTGTTTTTTACTCACTGTATTCCATTCGAAAGGGTTCGATGATTTTTCCAGACACACGAATTCTTGGAAATAAGTGGTGTAGTAAACGTACTATACGCCATTGCATATAATATGATGAATGAACAACAAATAATATGTGTTGTAACATCATGACGTATCTAACGTGTGTTGTATGGATACATTGATCCAATGTACGAATTCGATTCTTTTTAGCGTACTTTGATATTATACAGCAATGCCTTATCTCGTTGTTTTAATATTGTTGTACGCTGCACCTCGTGAAATGTATGGATTTAGTTTAGTACCTATATTATGAAGGTACCTATATTGTATAGAGACGGAATACAACTAAAACGTTATCTGAAATATTAAGTAATCTCGTCTTAGTAATATTAGACCCTATCCAATTAATAAAAAATAAATACCTGTAATTGTCTACAAATTCAATAGATCCATTAAGTGCAGTACGAAATAATATTAAACACACTAATTTATTGAAGAAAATCACGTATATATTATTATACTCGGCTGTTTGACAACGCTTCGGATTTCCTGAGTTCTATTCGAGGCTCGAGCATTGAGTTTAGTAATATTATAAGTTAAAACATAATAATTATTATCAGGTTACCAGTTCAATCTCGATGGCTGGCCCTGATGTAACCGAAGAGCTACTACCGAGGAAATCCCGGTGACCAGCGAAAAAATTAGGCCTTTATTATTTTCGTGAAAATGTACTCTAGTCTTTTTAGATGGTGGCATAATATAGAACAATAATATAGTATAAATCCAAATTGATGCATCAATTGTAGCCATGGTAATAACTATCTATAGGAATGAGTCAGTTGTATACTACTGTATTGGGCATTCCATTCATAACAATCGATAATTATTTATTTATTTATTTATTAATTAATTCACGGAATAAAAAATTCCTTATTTAGTATAGAACATAACAATAATTCAGTAAAATAAGATAACTAACATATACAAGGGCGATGGCCAAAAAATAATGCACGCGACACGCTGCCGTCGTCCGTTAATGCGTGTACTGTTTAATAATTTACAGTTCTGTGTACGAGGCGTGAAACCAATTTTTTATAACTTAAATATATTGGTACATAGCCACTTAATACATTTTCATTCTCAGCCAGAATAAGAGAGTCTTATTTTAATGTCATTCCAGTTGAAAGGGACTTGCTATTACAAATATTTGTAATGAAGATATTATTGATTTAATTTGTAAACTGTGATAAAATAAGCCAAGATTTAATGAAGTTAATGAAATAGTAATGAAAAAAAAAAAATAAAAAAATAATGATTTAAATTTAAGGCTTTTATGAATAATACTATGTTCTAATATTAAAACTTTAACAAAATTAGGTATGGTTATTCAGATAAAAATGAAATTATTTAAATGTTCAATGTGGTAATTATTATTTATAGTATTATAATTTTATTATATATATGACTAATTGATTCATATTCATTATAATTGTAAGTTATTAAGTAAAATAGTGAATTGATATTTTCCCATAGGCCATAATCATTTTATTTGATGATTTATTTGATGATCTATTGTATGATCCATTTTATAATTAATCATCTAATTATTTTTTAACCATATTACCATAGTACCTTGTTATTGGGTAAGATATTTATCAGTTTTATATCAAAACCTGATATAAACTAGAAGTTCCTATTAAAAATGAATATAAAAATAGTTATTTGTGTTTTGCGTTATACAATTTTAACTAATTTTGATCATTAAGCTAAACTCTATTTTTTAAATAATAATATAATATATAGGTAGTGTATTAAAATATAATATGTAAATGCATGTACATTTATATTTAAAAGCAAATGTAATTTTAAACATGTGAGGTCTTAGAAAAATTGATACTACTTAAACTAAGGTCTCGTAACGACTCATGAGTAAGATGAAATCGGTAAAAATTGCATACATCTGGCTCTAAACTTATATTTTGAGTTTTTAATATTTCTATTCTGTAGCTTTTTTGTGCGCATAATATAAAGATAAGTGAAAAATTGCCTTTGCTGAAGTAGGTATATTAAGTATAATATTAAGTATAACAATACTAATTTTGTAAATGTGCTTATGAGAAGTAATATTATGAATTAATGCATGTCTTCTAAAAGATTAATCATAAAAAAAATCAATGTACTTATCCTTTCAGATTTCTTTGATTGAAATGTAAACAAAATAAGAAATACATTTTTGTCGATTGGGCTGATTGTTTGTCGAGGTCTAATAGAAATTTATAATTTCGGTTGTCCGAAAAGTCTCAATCTGGTGCTTTATTTCAGTTTGTTAAAAATTATATATTTCGGTAAATACATTAAAATAATACGTTTTAGAGTAAACAAATACTATTAATCCAGTAATCAGTCTATTTCTACCTTACCTACGCAGTGGGAAACACACCACATGGCCGGTATTTATGTGAAAAATTTAATATGTGATTCAGATTTCTACAAAATATTATGTGTTATAATGGTTCTATTTTATATTTATTGGAAGATCGATGACTAGTGACTACAATGGGGAGTGTGTAAGCTCCCCACGTGTAATATTTAAATATAAAAATAAAACACCTCTTGAACTTACTATAATACATGACGTATGCAAAATAAAATATAAAATGAATACATTGAATAGCATGAATCATGATAGAGATTAGAGAGTGCGGGTACTTCAAAGTAGCTTATGTCAAAAATACCACTAAATATTAATATTTTTTATAAAATCAACAGTGTTGAAACACTATACAAGTAAATAAAATCGCGATTATTAGTTAGTAGTTACCTATTATTATAATAACAATAATCTAATCTACGTTTAAATTGAACTCGAAATTCGAATAGTTATAACTTATAAATTATATTATATAGTGAATAAATTGTACCAGAACACAATAATATGTATGTAAACAGTTTATTATTAATCATTCACCTACCTTGAAACGAGGATTTACCATTCATACAACACACAATTATATTACATACACTTTATGCTTATATTATTACATACAAAATACGTCGTATACAATAACAAGTTAATACTTAGAATTAAGATTATTCGTATTGATTAACGTTAGATTACACACTCAAATATTTTAATCTATAGGTAGGTAAACATAATATTCTATTAGTGGAGATGTGAGAGGGAGTGCTTGGCGTGATTAGAAAAATATATGTTGGAGGGATAATTTTATAAATTATATAATATTTATATGTATATAAGTATAAACTATAAAGTTCTATAGTCACTTTTTCTGATTATACAGGTGGGTTCACCCTTCATAATGCCATCACCTGTGTATTGATGAGGAGTGGAGCAGTTGTAAATGTTTGCCAAATGGGGGGGGGGTACAACACGCTCTGGGAGTTTATTTCGTGTTATCGGCGAACGAGCTTTATGATGGTTTATTCGATCTTGTGAAGTAGTCCTCTATTTCTCGGAAACTCTTGCCCAACGTCTCAGGCACGACAAAGTGCACGTAGACGGCCATTGAAAAGGACACGGCGCCGAACATGAGAAACACATGTGGCACGGAGACGGCGGCTAACACGTACGGGAACGTCTTGAGCACGGCGAACATGATCAGGTAGGCGTACGATACCAGCATGCAGCCGCCGACTGCCCGGACTGGCGTGGACAGCAGTTCACATATCATCGTCCACGGGAACACGAGAACGCCGACAGAACTGCTGAAAACGTACAGCATGACGCCGCACAGGGACCACGGGACGGTGGTCACGTCACGGCCACGGTGGGCAACCGCCACCAAGGTGGAAGACAGCGCCATGGCCATGCACGAGAACACCAGCAGAGGTTTCCGACCCACGCGCAACGACAGTACGCACGCCAGCAGGCCGGACGCGAACCTGATGGCACCCAACACGGCCAGTGATTGGATATCGGTGGCCGGTGAGTAGGCTGCAGGCATAACCGACTTGAGAATGGGCAGCGCGTACGATATGGTTGGGTAGGCACCGGTCAGTTGCTGGAGGAGTAGCAGCACTGTCAATATGGCAATCGGCTTGTACGCCGCGGGACTGGATCGGACTGACTCTATGAATGACGGTTGCTGGGCGTTTGTGCTGGCAGTGGCATCTGACGCAGATTTCAGACGTCTCCACTCTGCTTCGAACACCTGTGTGACAAGCTCATCGTTTACTATTTATGGACGGGTATGACGACGAATTGTTTCCCGTGGACCCCAGTTTCACCAGAAAATTGCATGAAGTTACCCCTTCCCCACTTTGTCCTATCTACTTCAAATACCACCAATTAATTGCAAATCTAATTTCATTAATTGCAAATTCAGTTTTGTATTTTCATATTTTTACGATTTTTAAATTTTTGCGGCCAGTCCATCTGCCCAACCCCCCCTCATTTTGCCCGATTGACTGAATGCATATCACCAGACACGGGTCATTCGAATTGGTACTTATGTTCAAAGTTAGATTATTGTATTTTTACACACAATTTTAACTCATCAGAACACAGCTGTAGTTGACAAATTGGTTGTCATTTAAATTTGGGATATACCATACACCTTTATTGTACCTACAAACCTCTACGGCTACCAATTTGTTGACAGCAAACACATTTTTGAAAAAATCATATTTTGTACAATTAGATATTAAGTGTACCTATAAATAAATTGATGATAACAAGAGCACATTTTTTTCAATTTTTCAAGACTTGAAAATATTATTTTTTCATTTAAATTGCCCGTTTTTTACTCAGTTTTGGACTTGTTTTTGGGAAATATCATTATTTTACTTTCTATGTATAATTTCGACTATAGTTATTTAGTACATTTTATTAAAGTCATCTACGAGACATATAAATAATGATGTTTTTACTATAGAAAAACCCCAGTGGGAACCAATCCGAACGTCTGTTGCATAAGATACTGAAAACTAATTCGGATTATGTAATAATAATCACCACAATAATAATATTATATTAATAGTATAAGGTGGGTCAAAGAATAGGGTCGTGTTTAACGCTAGAGTAATATAATTGTATGGGTACCTGATCGTCATTCGGATAAATCTGTTTCACCGCCATTTTGGCTTCATCGATGTAATCGGAACTCTTAAACTTCAGTATCCAGATCGGACTCTCCGGTAAGTAAATTATTATGAGCAACATGTTGACGACCGTGAAGACGACAAACGAAAAATTTATGACATTCCAATTCAGGTCCGCCAAACAGGTAGAGAGCAGTATGCCACCAGAAAAGAAAACGCTGTTCAGAGACAACAATATCTGCTTGTACGACGAGTGGCTGATTTCTGACACGTACACCATGCCCACCGTAGTCATTCCTGAACGATTTGTTAAATGTAAACATATAATATAACATGTGTGTTATTATTTTGCCCAGCAATTTTTTTACATTTGTACCTGCACCGATCCCAGCCAACAGCCTAAATGCATAAAACGTGTAGATGTTATCAGAACTTGAAACGGTCACTATTGTCCACGACGCGAGTAATGGTAAGCAAGTCAAGAGACAAGCCTTTTTGCGGCCAATCTTATCCATCTCCAGACCTACAAGGAACGCTCCAACGGGTGTGCATAAAACCGAAATACTTGCTTTCATAAAGAAAAACATCAAAACTTCGCTTTAACCAGGTATACTTGAACATATCTTAAAGTATAAACATATTATTTTATTTTATTTTTAATAATAAAATACAAGCAAATTCCCAATTTATAATTTGTACATACATTTAGTTAACATAAAACCAAATTAAAATAACTCTCAAGAATAAGATTATGTTATTTGTATGATAAAATAAGAATTTAAAGAGCTATTAAATATTATTTATAAGGTGCGGGAGTTATAAATAGTAAGCGAACAATTGATTTTACAATGTGATATATTTATTTAACTGAATATTATTTTTTATTTGCAGCATAGTATACATTAATTAAAAAATGGAAATTGAGAAATTACCACAGATTATATAAAATATACATTATACATAATATATAATCTGTAATTTTAATTAGTGTTACTAACAATCTCAGTATCAGCAGTTGAACTTGACAGTTAACACGATAAGATAAAATACGAATTTTGATTGGTTAAAATGTTAAATTATAATTTAAACTGTTTTGAAATATAACAAACCATGATCTATGTTCTTCATTTATTAAATAATAAAATTATGACAGAATCAATTGTCCGCATAATTTGTTTTTTTTTCAAGGGGACCAATATTGTTTTCCATCAGTGATGTTCCATGACTCGCCAGTTCGCCACTATCACTTTCCAAAAAAAATATTTTCATGATAATGATAATGATGACGATCAACGTCACGATCGACAAAATAGTTATGTTGATTTCAATGAATCATATTTTTAATCGTCAATGCGTGATTTCTACAATAATTACAATTTATACAATTGAAGACATGCTGTCTTGAGATTCAAATTGTACATAATTAATTGGATTTAATTTTAGTCTCATTATCTTATGTTTTTAATATAGGGTCGCTATAAACAATTATTTTCTAGCAGAAGTCCTCGTAAATAAATTTTTTATTGACATCGAGAAAAAAAAATATAAGTAATATATTTTTATTATTATAAGAAATAAATACCTTAGCTGAGTTCAAGCTAAGGAACCAAATTTTCATACTATTAAGAGAAGAACATTTACTGTGCAAAATAATTTTCATTTTTTTGGTATCACAAAAACAAAAAAAGTTATTCAAGTTTGAATTTTTAAGCAATAAGAACTTTCTTGTATTTGTGATATCGAAAAAATAAAAACGATATTGTACATTAAATGTTATCTTGTTTATAGTGTGAAAATTTGGTTCCTTAATTTTGACAACAGCTTGAGTGGTCTTATTTCTATTTCGCGCAAAATAGTTTTTACTATGTTGTACTTTTGTAAAACGGAGACAACACATGCGGGTGTGGCGTTCTCTATATAATTATTCAATACATATACTTTAGATTTATATTAATGTAATAAGAGTGGTTAAAAATAATTTTTTTATTATTTTTAATTTTTAATTTGTAAAATGTCTTTTTTTTAAAAAAACATTTATGTTTATTTTTGGTAAATCATGAGTTTATAGACTCAATTGAAACGTAAGTACTAAGTAGTCTTTCAAAAAAGGTCACAATAAATATAATAAAATAGATACTTTAATTCTCGGTACATTTAATATTATATATATATATCGTACAGACAGCGGTCGAAGTAGGGGTGATACGATGGGATGGCATCCCTCCACTTATTTTTAGCCACTTCGACCTCACAGGCAATGTTTACAGTTATTATTTTAAAGTTTAAATATGTAAATGGTTATTACTTATCCATGAAAATTGATCTTTATTTATTGATGGCATATGATGCAACATATTGTTTGAATAGGCTAAATGTATTCCCGGTTGAATCACCATTAACAAAGATATACAACTAGCCAACACCTAAAAAAATAATCTTATTAGTTATACGGCATAAAAATAATCAATTTGTTTAATCGAATGAATTAAAAACTTACTTGAGGATATAAATCTTTCCATAAAAGACTTGAAACTGAATACTTTTGAACCTCGACATCAATGATTATATTTTCTGTTTTCCTGCGGAAAAATAAAATATCTCGAACGGATAATTTTAGGAATACCCAATCAATAAGTTTATCAATAAATCAAACATTTTTAGCTTTAATACGTACCCGTTGTTTTCAATTAATTTATTTTGACCATCATTATCAGTTCCATATTTGTCTATACTAGTAATAGTTTTAGTGTTAATATTGCAGTCTGAAATAATTGTTTTAAATTTAAATTTATTTAAAATATTATAATATAATTTAATTACGAACTACTATTCTCGGGTGAAGTGACTTTATCCGCAGTAATTTTCTCATTCTGATCTATGATATTACTCATTCTGTTACCCTAAAAGTTAAATTATTAAAATAAGTATTAAATATTGCTAGCCAATAGCATTGATGTACATTATAGGTAACATCGAATAGAGAACTGCATTAAATTGAGATAACATTTAATATCTATAGAATATGAGTAAATGTTTGAAAAAACAGTATATATACATATAAATAGTTATAGTATCATATTACCATACGATTCGGAAAATATATATCAAATTATACCAACAATGTAATCATTTAAGGTCATAGAGATGGACCTGCGCATTGATATTAAATTATTATTATTATTATTATTATTATTACAAATCTCTAAGTATTAAATAATGCACTATAAACTAAAATAAGATGAATATTGCAATGATGTAATAGGTTTGCCATGTATAAATGTGTATGTATGATTCGTATCGATTGATTTAGGCCACAGTTTTACGACAGTTTATTTGTTACTACGAACCATTATAATCATAAATAATTTTAAAAAATTAGTAATAATGTAGACAGATAGCTTATCCAGTTTCTACGAGCCTCATAATTGTTAATCAAACGAGGGGCTTAAAACGAGATACCAATGAAATTTGACAATTATAAAAATGTTATGCTGGTTTGCAGTATTTTGCAAAAATAAAAAATTTTAAATTTGTAAAATTGTATTGCCATTATGATTAGTACAATTGTTAAACAATTAAGATTACTATTAACTAGGTACAAATGTACAAGATTCTAAGTTATAACCATTTGAGATATGAATAGAGTTAAACATTTATTTGCGACCTTTCGACTACCTATTCAGTTGATTAATCCAGAAGCAGAAAGGTATGTAAGTGCAGTAATCTGTATTCTGTAGGTAAATATCTTATTGGTTGTTCCATAACATATTTTATTTGACTTTTTTATTTTTAGGTTAATTTAATGTGTGTTATTACGATTAAATTAATTTTCTTGTTTTTTACAACAAAACAATACCTATCTTTGAACAATTACTAATAGACATGAGCTGGATTGAAATTACTAAAACCCAATCACATAATAATATTAATAAGAAAACTTGATAACGTGGACAATATAGTGACTGTTAAATCCCATTTATCAGTTATCGCTTTTACCTATTATAATTATATTTTATTATAGGAGTTTGCATAGAATATAGAATTACATGGTTGTAAGTTTATAACCTGTTAGTTTTCTTACTCACGGTTAGTTTTCACTAATGTATAATATTAATTAAATTACATAATATCAAGTTTAAAAGTTATAAAAAGTTATAAATATAACTTGTAGACCTACAATTTAAAATTGTATTTTAACACAAACGTTGAAAATTAATAACTGAATAATACTCCTTAGAATATTATTATAAACATTTGTTATTTTAAACATATTTTGGAGAAAACTTAATATTTTATTTTTAGTTTTAAATTGCCTATACTCACTATCAAGATTGCGGTAGTGTCGTGGACCGAGATGATCAAATAGAGCTTGGAATAACGTCATATTTAATTACGTTATTATTTTCTTGGACTTATTTTCTGCTTATAGTTAGTGGCAAGTTTAACTTCAATAAACAAATTTTTACAATATTTTCATAAATTAACTAAACTTGCAAGACATATTTAATATAATTGTTGGTATATTATATGTTTCAAAGAATAATACATTGTTTTAAATCTATTGAATTGGGTTGAAGGAGTTATTACGTACATGGTTCATCGAATGTTCCCAGAAAAAGTTGGAGGTAAACTACCAATAATAAATGTATTATTTAAATAGCAATATAGCATCAAAGTGAATAAGTAATGGAGAGAAGAGTGGATAAGTCCACCTTGATATGCATACGTTTATTAATGAGCATGTTTACCGCTCTATATATATCTCCACTTGCAAATGGATCATTAACAATATAAACGCTTGCATTTTTTATTAACTTATTGTTTAGTTTACAGATTTAGATTTTATAGTAGGTATAATGGTTTATAAATTATAATACTATAATAGTTAATGCGCATAAAAAATTAACAACAAAAATGTCGTTGCTATAATAGATAAATAACGCATTTTATGCATATTTTTTTTCTAAAATTGAGCTTGACCTTATTTGATATTTCAATACATTTCTTACAAAACTATAAATGTAGTAACCATCATACATAATGCATATGTCTGTACAATCTAGATGAAAATCTTCTGCAGTCGTTTGGAAAGCATCGTAAGTTAAATTTAACTATTTAATATACCTTATTTGTGTGATGGAGAAACAAACGAAGAAACTAAGTTAAAAATTTAACAGCTGGTTATAACTGCAGCGAGTGACGAGTGTAGCAGTCGAGAATCATTAAAGGCGTATCGCGTATATCACGTATGTAGCTACTATATTAGCAATAAGCGATGGGCAGTGGTGGCAGTTATATACAGCCATGAGGACTTCGAACTTTTAAGAGACACAGCAATGCATATACGATTAATTTGATTTACATTTTGCGTGGTTGTTAATTTACACGCTTCCGGCCAATCAGCCTAAAGCGCGCCTAAATATTGTAACTTTTTAATTTAATACATTTACCTATCATCATTGTGTGTACCTGCCTCTATATTAGATACCTACGCAATATAATATGACACAACTTCATCATTATTCGTTGGCCAAAAAAAAAAATCATGATATATCTACTATACTTAGTAATATTAATATGTAAATATGTAATACAATAATTTAACCAAGGCTGTGGAGTACCTTATGAAAAAAAAATAACTTGTTAACTAGTTAATAGTAATGTACACATATTCTATTAAATCTAAGTATACTTAGGTGTTCAACATATAACAGGTAAGGCTTGTATAGTTGAGTGCATGTAAAAAACCTTAATCCCAATGTTGAGTAGTAATACACAGCACATCTAATTTAAATTGAAAAATTACAGTTTAATATTTTAATCATGAAAGTCTGTAAATATCTTGTAAAAATAAAAAATTAAAAAATCATAAAAGTAAATTAAAATATATTTCGAAAGTGAAAACACTGCCTGAACACTCAATTATAATTCACAGCGTAATTTATTCACTATCAATCAAATTCCCATCGTCGAGTACAATAAATTACTTTTATAAATGGTTGAAACTTGAAATACTAATCAATTGACAATTTAAAATATTTGGATTCCACGATAAAAATATCTAAAACGTTGACTGCGAGAGCGCTGGTATAACCTGTTGTATTTCAGCCCGCGCTCGAATCGTAGGACGTGTGCCAAAGATATTCCGAACCACAAGGAGTTTGTAACGTCACCGCACAGGTACCGTATCAATCATTATGACGTCACTTTATGATTGCATCACCACCACCAATCAGTATTCATCAGACTCTGTTGTATTTCGTTTCGAATGTCTTGATTAATAGGTAATTATAATTCTTCAATTTCCTAATCTTTTGCAACAGTCGAAATTACGAAACGCGAGTCAGAGGATCGACCGGAGCTGCGGACATTTGTGCGATAGTCGTCCAATTATTGTCGAGATCACCGAAAATCGTCGCACTAACGTCAGTGTGTCGTCAGGCAGTTAAACAATTCCGACCGTCGACGTCCCGCCCTTGACCAGTTGCATACCTACGTCGTCCATTATACCTCATCAGCGACCCGGCTCATAGATCTAAAATTCCCGGTGAGTGCTACGATCTAATACAATAATATCGCGTTCCGGTGCCTCACTTTCGAGTTTTTGGACAGTCAGAAACTTCTACGACTTTAGGTCGAGTACAAAACACTGCTCCGCGTTTCGCCGTCCAGAATGTTTTTGACACAGTTAGCGATCGTTGCGCGTAGAAAACTTACAATATTGGTTTTTGAGCAGGTGTACAAATCACTACATTAGCGCACACAACTAACATACCTACGACATTAGTCCTCTAATCTTTGTTTACCCACCAAAATGTTTATCGTGACGTTTTTTATTTTCTCGAAAACATATTTTACCCGATGATAACATACATAATATTAAATATAACTCTACGTCACGTACCTATTAAGACATTTAGTTTCTAAATTTCCGTAGCACTGAAATTGGTTCCATTAACTCTTGCAGGCACAATGGCAGACAACAAAGGACAGAGCACAAAAAAGCCGACCGACTCCCAGAAGAAACTCCAAGAGTCTCAAGCTCAGGTTGATGAGGTCAGTATGAGAACTATTTAATAAATATGTTTGTATGAGTGCATTATCAGCTTCGTACGTATTTAATGAAATTATCTAATCATTTATAAATATTTCAAGGTCGTTGGAATTATGAGAGTCAACGTGGAAAAGGTGTTAGAACGAGATCAAAAACTATCAGAGTTAGACAATCGTGCAGGTACATTAAGTATAATTTATAATCATTCTTTATTTCTTAATAAATGCAAATGAATATAAATTATATATTTTAACCATTACAGTTACCATTTCAAATTTGTTTACTAATTAGTTATCTTATAATTTCCTAGCTGGGAAAGTTAAAAATGGGACAATATGTTATGTATAGGTTAAATGGAAAATTCATTTCCTGGGAAGAAATGAAAAAACTAATTTTTATACTAACTAGTTATTATTTTTATTTTAATAATAAAAACTATAAAACATTTTTTTTACTAGATAATGTAATGATTGTCAAATTTAATAATTCTCTCAGGGAGGGTTGCATAAATGTCTTGTAGCGACTTATCAAACCATTATCACACCGTTAACTGTTTAAATAAAACTAGGTGTTGCTTGAATGCCTGTTAGTGTTAGTGGTTCTATAAACTATCGGTTACAGGACCATTAAACTACAGATTGGATTTTGGTTTGGTAACTTACAGGTTGATGAAATATCATAGATGTTATTATTATTATTGGTGGTTTAATTTGTTTGGTAATCTCTGTAATCAATAATTTAATATTTCTTCATGCAACACCAGCATAGTTTATCACAATAATTAACTTCACAGAATGAATACATTACTGGGTCGGTAACAAGTTTACGGATTGTTTTTTAAGCCCACACTTAGAATAAACAGAAATTATTGTCCAAGAAAATCCAAAATTTAATACATTTAGCTGTGAAATATACTTAATATTTTACTACAGTAGAAATAATTAAATATTTAGCTATTATATTCATATAATGTTAAATTATGGTTACATTTGTATTAAATATTTCTCATACAACTATATATTTTATATTTAAAACCAATTAAAAGAACCATAACAAATAATCATTATTAATATAAATATACTTTACTTTTTAAAAAATAAAATAGTATTAAAGATAATAATATAGTTCTCATTTAAGCCTAATTCAAGTTACCAAAAATTAAAACCTAGTTAATAAGTTACTAAACAAAATCAACCATTTCATTGATTAAACAAACATTAGGGACAAAGGTATATTAGTGTGCAGCTTTGTGTAAACAAATATAATTCTTTTTTAGATATTTAACTTAAAATAGGTTCTATTTGTTTAGTCATTCATAATACTTAAAAACACAAGTATACACTTACACTTTCTTATATATTTTGCTAAAGTAGCCAGTAAACAAACCTACTAAACAAATAATATTGTATATTATTAATTTGCTTAATATTCAAAAATAACTACCATATTATGTCTTTCTACAAAAATGTAATATAATTGATTTTTGTTTATGCTTACAAAACATTCAGTAGGAAGGTAAGTTTGGTTAAATAACCATAAATAGTAGATAGCGTTTTCAATAAGAGAGTTTTATTTTCTGTAGTTTTTAAACTTATCATGTCGGCAAATAAGTGGTGTCATTTATGGAATGCATCTGTAACGTGCATCATGGTATCACATAATATTTTTTTTATTAGGCTACTCATATGTAAAAATTCAAAGTTCATATTTTAATTTTACTATAGAAATATAGACATGACACCACTGTTAATTATTGTATAACAATTGCCTTTTTAGATAAATAAAGATTTATTTAAATGTCCTATTATTTATTTTTTGCACGTTTAGTATGAATTAAAATTAAATATTTTTCTTTTTTATTTATTAATTAGTTGTGTGTAGTTAGTAGTTTTGTGTCATTTAATATATTAAGTACTTTGTGACAGTATTTTATCTCGTCTGGCAACACAATTTTTGAGAAATACTGGTATAGCATATACCTAGTAAGTAGCATTAAAAATGCCCTAGAGGCTTACATCATCTATAGGATGATTTCACTGAGTTTGCCTGGTTTTACCTTCACTTACCATTATTAAATATATAAATTTGAACCATTATTTGAATAAAATACTTGTTATATTTGATTTAAAATTATTAAGTAATTTATATTTGCTATAATTTTTTAATCATCATGGTCCCCAAACTTATTATCATGTACCTATCTTTAGTGTACCAAATTAAATAACTTAAAACCACCCACTCTTTCAAACTTTGATTAAAATACCTATATAAACATTTTCAAAATAGTCATCTGATTAAGAATTAATAGGAAAAAGGGTGATGCTCATTTGAAAAAAAGAAGTTGGTTTCGCCACATGATACTCCTGAATTGGTATAAAAAATATAAAAAGTATTTAAAAATATAGTCTTACAGATTACAAAACTGAAATTGGATTAAATGTGCAGTTAAATAAATAGAAGTGGTAATCATGTTTGATGATTCACCGTGTATGTTGATTTTCCACTTCTCTTTAATTTTCATACTAATATTACATAATAGATAATAATATATTTTTTCTTCTATCCTGAAAATTAAAATTCTTTGCATACTATGTAGTGCATACTCTTTACTAAATGAAGATATTTGATTTAATATTATTATCAAGTTTGTAATAAATTTATTATAAAAGTACCTAAATTACAAGGTTGCTCTAAAACGATAGTAAATATGTTGTAGGCTTTAATAAATCATTAGAATAGAAACATTTTTGGGACTGATGTTTTTTCTTTTATTTGTGTCAGTATAACTTGTCTATTCCATTGTTTCAAAATGTATTTGAAAAATTAGTATTAAAAATTATATTTTTGGAAAGTGTAACATTAATATTTTTGTTACAGATGTCTTGCAACAAGGTGCATCTCAATTTGAGCAACATGCTACAAAACTTAAAAGGAAGATGTGGTGGAAAAATTTAAAGGTTAGTACTTTATAGTATTAAAAAAAATTAATTCTTAATATTTCTTAATTTACATTATGATATAATATACCTATGTTTAATATAATTATTTTATTTTTATTTTACTAGATGATGATTCTTTTGGGAGTTATTGTGGCAGTACTTTTGATTCTAATTGTCGGTAAGTTATTTTGAAAATTTGACTTAGATATTATAGAATATCAGCTGACTATGTGCATTTTCTTTATCTTACCATAGCAAGTAGCAACTTTGTATTCAGTAGAACCAATTTTGTGTTTTTAGGCTTTAATATCATAGAGAATTAACCTATCGTTTTACTTCAGGCTTAAGAGGTCACTATACCCACATTTATTGTCACGGTCCTACTAACAAAATACCTATTAAATTGGATATTTTGAATAATCCATTCAATTGTTATGTTTGATATTAGACTAAATTTACATAATATTATCAAATTTAAAAGTAAAAATATCATTAGGTAAATCAAAGGTTTTTTAAATATTTAACTTTTAAGCAAGTTATAAGCTTTTAACATTATCTGTGTTATTTTACAATATTTATATTTTATTTTCGGTTTATGATCATTTTAAATTTCTAATATTTTACATACTCGATTTGTATAAAAATTGAAATATTGTAAAAAAAAAACAAAAAAAACTCATAATGATGTTAACTTGAAGTTTTAATGAGTCTGTTTATTCTGTTCATTGTAATATTAATGGTAAAAAGTTAAGATTCTTCTGCTGAACTCAAATTTGTCATTATGCATTGGTTAGAGAGAGAAAAAAATTGTGCGCTTACGTCCCTTCAATTGAAAAAGAAAATTATTAATTTATAATGTAGAAAAATTATTCTCGATAACTGTTGAGAAATAAAGTTATAACTACCTATTAGTATTATTATTATTATTTTAAAAATGAATTAAATAATATTTTTAATTACAGGGTCATTCTTTGGTTCTAATTAAGTAATGCTGTTTATGAACAGAAAAAAGCGGAATTGTCATTTTACATCCTGGAAGCATTAACTTAACATTATTATTATTATAAATATAAATTGTGATAAATAATAAAATAATGTGTCACGGAATTGCATTTTTAATGTATTGTAATATTGCATTATATACATATTTGAATTTCTGTTTACTAGAAATATTTTATTTAATCTAAGAAATTTATTTAATTTTTTAATACTCAAATAATTATAAACAGAATTTTTTTTTGTTATTCATAAATATTCAACACTGTACAGTTAACTAAATTCTAATATTTAATCATTAATAATTTTTAATTTATTCCTTTATTATTATTGATAATTATTACTTTTAATTTAATTTGAGGTTATAATTGGCTATGGTAATAAAATATTATTTTATGTATTTTATTTTATTTTTTTATATCAAACAAATTATTTTTATAATGTAGGCTGATTGAATATTAAATATATTATATTTCTTGTAAATCTTGTCATCAACATTTATTTTTGTTAATAATAGCTTTATATTAATTATTGTTAAAATGTTGAAAGCTTTAGGAAATACATTATGAAAACATCAATTTAAATAATTAAACTATGATTTATAATTTGTTTGGACTTTTTTAAATACTACCCAATATGTAGGTATGTTTTTAAAACAAAATATTACAAAGTATTACATTACCTGTACTTGAAATTAGTTCATTGCTAAAAGAATTTATTTTAACTTTTAATTGTATTCAATTATTTTATAATGTTTATTTGTAACCAGCAAAGTACTTATATTAGTACATTACATAAATAAATAAGTAATGGTTACTAAACCCCTTTTTAAGGTAATTATTGTATTAGTGGTTAGTCAATTGACTGATATTTTGAATAAAACCATATAACTAATTCAATGAAAAGCAGATTTGCTGCTTTGAAAATATGGACACAGGTTTTTATCAAATTCTGAAGAAGATTGGAATGAAAACAAGATTTAGTGCAATTATGCATCATAATCTATACGTAAATTGTTGTTGTTTTTTTGATACTAAAACCTAACTACTCAATAGTTGCCAACGTTTGTTATTTTGACAACATTTATCAACATTTAAATTTCAAATGCTAAGAAAAATAAATCTTTTATAAATTTCTATCTATATGACTAAGCCTTAAAATTATCTAGAATTTAAAAAAGGGCTGGTGAGGGGATACTACTTTGCTATGCATATATTAGGTGTCCTTGTTGGTCGCTGTAATGGGGTTCAATTTTCATTCAATAATGTAAAACCATTGTGTACGAAAAACGATTCCGAGTGGAGAAGGGACTTTGAAGAAATTTGTCAACATTTGGACTTATAATGCTTATTAAGAAGTCTCTTTGACCCAGTGAAAAATGTAGTATTGATACTTATTTATAGGAAAAGAAAATTGCAGATGTATGTAAATGGCTCAAAAAGAGTCCAAATATTTTATGTTAAAATAAATATTTGTTAAAAATTCCAAGTTTCTGCGGATATTCTGAAAGTTTTAATGGTTCTGTGAGAAATCTTATTAGTATGGATAAATATCCAATATAAGAAAAAAAATTTGAACTTCAAATGCTCGTAAAAAATTAGTTTTACTTTCCTCTACACTTTTTTCTTTCAATCTTGTTTAAAATTATTAAATCTTAGATAATATAAAAAAGAAATTTTTTATGTATTTCTATAACTACAAAATATTTTGCAAATTCTCGTGATTTTGATGCATCATATCAATATTCTAACTTTAAGTGATTATTAAATATATAGTGAAGTTATGTAAATGAAAAAAATTATATTATATTCGTTATTTATTTTTTAATTTAGTGAAAATCTGAAATATTAAAATTACGATCACACGGCGCCGTAGTTAGGCTATTTCTCTATTACATTGCCGTAATTTTTTTGACGTATCATACGTATTTACTATTTACACTAGCTGATTTTAATTAAAACGTATTTAAGTGTAAACTTTATTATATTTATTTTAATTTTAGTCAGTTCTTGGAACTTGTGGTTTACCGTGTTAACTGGTTAGGTATTTGCATTCAATATTTGTTTTAAGAATAACAATAGACGTAATAAATATTAAATATTGATGAAGTTATTGATAAACTGGCCACCAAAGACAGAAAGTATGATTTTTATTGTAATTTTTTTTTCTATTTTTCGTCTAATACATATACATAGTCAATGCGATGTACTAAAAGTTATGATTAATTATCTTAGTTGAAATTCAATGTAGAATGTCGTATACACCATATAAATTTATAATATTATATCCAAATTCAACAACCTCAAATGTCTAAAAAAAAAAATATGGTTTAGGATTGTCGATGTTTTTAAATTATATTAGATTTGTATAAGCTTATACACCTTGAATACCTTAATCAAATTCTTCAATATAAAGCTAAACAAATTTAAAATGTAATTAATTCTTGAGTAGGTACTAAATTATTTAGAAAACTTTTGTGATTTTGTTTAAATTTTAACTTTAGTATCTAATACAAACTTTACAATGTTTTTCGATAGTTTTCAAATTTCTGTAAGCACAAACCATAAGGAAACATGGTTCAACATGGTTCATATTACATGTTCAACTTTTTTTAACAAGATAACATTTTTATCAACATAAATAAAAATAAAGTAGACAATTTAAATGGCAATAAAATATGTATCAAAAAGCGCTGCTTACGAATTGCGTTCCGTTTAAAAAGGTATAATGTACTTATAAATGTTTAAAGGCGAAATTATTGGTTATTATCAATTATTTTAGTATTTTAGATTTAATAAATACGATTACGTTAAAACTTTGATCATTTTCTAGTGAGTTACGTTCTGTAGATAATGAAATTAATAAAGGGATAATTAATAAATACCAATTTTTAAAACAAGCAATATCCGATTTTCAAACAAAAAAAATTAGTAGGTTTGAATTTATAAAAAAGTTATCTTTTACATTTTTTACCACTACTATTATATTTTTATAAACTTAAAATTACAAAAAAAAAAAACAAAAACAATATATATTTCATCAATAACGATAATATATTATTTACACAGTTACAATTTTATGACAAAATACAAAAACAAAAATAATATGATAAGCAAAAACAATGTTTTTAAAATTAGTTCAACCTTAGTATATTGTCTAATAATAAATAGATTACTTTCACAGCAAAGATATCACAATATGTAGGGATTAGGTTGACAGACTGTCTTCGGCCAGGATCGTTTTTTGTATTCAATGTTTTTATATCATTGAGTTAAAATTTAACACTCCCATTTCAGTGATCCCTTAGAAATTTACTATGCATCAGAGCGGTAGGTCACTTGTCCTCCTTTTTTTCAATTGTGTTTTGAGGTTTATTGATAATAATACATAAAATAGAAATTGTTATTGAATTATGCAACAAAACATAATACCTTTTTATTAGTAATCAATGCAATTCAGTATTTCAGTGTAAGTAACAAATTTACTTTTTGTGTAAACTAAACATTTATCTAATTTTTATCGATGATTTGAACACTCTTTATCAGTGTCCACAACAACAGAACATACACCTATAGAACTTTTTAGTACGACCAAAACATGTTCGGCGTCTACGTTTGACCGTGTGTGCGGTTAACCTAACCTAACCTAACCTATGTAGCGAGTCCAGACAAGCGACCAATGGCACCTCCCCCACATTTAGTCGGGTCTGCTGGATTTCCGACCCTGTTATTGGGACAATCGAACTTACAGTATATTGTTATTTTGCCTCAAATTCTTTTGCAGAAGACAACTTATGAGAAACCTAAAACCTTATTAGTTACCTTAGATAGCTTGGAGTACCTATCTATAATAATTCTTCTTTCTCATTGTCTCCGCTCCCACTTATACATGGGATCGGCCACCCTTTTTCTACACCTCCATCGGGTTCTTTCCGACGCCTCTTATAGTCTTATTTACTCACGCTAGTGTACTCTATGGATTGGAGGGTTCATCAGTAACCACGACAAAACGTTTACATAGTCGATACTTACGCGTTATTAGTTTCGGGCGCATTTTAATACATTTTTTTTTTTATCAGTTTACAGTAGTTGATTAAACGAGCCCGTATTGGAGTCGTGTATGACAGTGGCAGGAAGAAGGTACCAACATAATATTATTATAATTAAAGCCTCGAGGCGTCAACTGCAGACTGGTTTTATTCTTCAAATACGCATACTTAAGTAGTATATTTAGGATGAAACTTTTGACGTATAACTCATCGTTATTTCAAACACTTTTGATGTTTTTGAAAACAATTTTGTGCATAATTGGAAATAACGGCGAAACAATGTTTTTGTAGAAAAATTTACATTTGTTATCGTTATCATTGTTTAAGTATTTTACCTTTTTTAAATGACAACGTACATTTTTAATTTTGTATTCTGAAGTATCATATTTTTCTAAGTATTTTGTTGTATATAAATTAAAAATCGAATTTCTAACGAGTACGACTTATATAGTTAATTAGTTGTTAAAGTAAGTAAATACATAAGACTGATATTTCATATCATGAGTTGAGTTTTATCTAGGTATGCATCTAATATTTGAAAACAAAATTGTGCTATTGATAGACATTAGAAGTTTTTGTTTATTTTTATTTTATGTTGATAAAATGATTTTACATAGAAAATAAAGCTTTAAATTAATATAATTGTTGAACTATAATTATGAATAAAAGATAATTAAAAAAAAAAACTTTAAAATGTGTAGCTATTACATATTAAATTGTAAAGTTCTTTTTGTTTATATACCTTAATGTTATATTTTCAGTTATATACTTCTAACATTACTCATTACTCTGTTTATTTATATTGGTTTGTTAATATTTTAATGTATTGCAATTGTTTAGCTAGATTTATTAATAAAAGCTAATTAAAAAAATTAAAAAATTATAAGGTTTCTTATATGATTTTTTTATAATTATAAGACTGATACTTTTAAAAATAACTCACAAAGATAATTATTGATAGACACTTACAATACCTAGTCGATAGTTGATAATAATATACTATTTCAAAATGTCAATTTATATTTTAGATCAGTAGACTTAGTGCTGT